ATTGCTCTTGGTTGCTGTCGCTTGAGCCTCCTCTGTACTAGTGTACTAATGTGTGGTACACAGTGACTGCACTCACCTTGGGAATTGGTACACATACCTATCCCACCAATCTGAAACTCATTCAGCCCAACCCACCCGCACACAATCTTAGAGACGCTGTAGGGAAGTTGCTGACAGTGGCCCCGTGGTCACATTTCCCTGGAGTTTCTTACACACTGGCCCTTAGACCTGGGGCCACACTTGGTTTTAGCTCGACTTGTGAGCCCTCTGTGAATCTCTTACAGGGCATGTGTGGGCAGGCAGAGGTGCCCGTGAGCCAGGCTAGGTCCTCACAGGGCTAGTACTGCTCTGCGAAGAGGGCCCTATGTGGGTCATCTCAGAGATGGTGGCCACAGCAGGGACTCTGGGCATGATCAGCCAGCCATAGACGTGGGCTTTGCCTTGATGGCCCCACCCTTGGACCTCCAAGACTTGCTTCCCAGGAGATGACCGTGGGGACATGGCCTGGACTCGGGGTGAGGCCGGGATGCACACTGTGGTTTTTGGCAGCGGCACCAGTCTGTCCAGTTTGTCTGCATCTCGGCCGGCTGGGGTGGGGAGACACTGGCTTGCAGCCCAAGGCCTGGGAAGTGGACGGCTTCCCTTGGCCTGGTCTGAGAAGGGTGAGTCCAGCCAGCGCTGCCACTGCTTAGAGAGGGAGCTGGGGCTGGCACCAGAGTACTGGTGCACATTGGCCACTCTGAGAGGCTGTACTTCCAGGGAGGGCTCTGTGACCCTCCTGGGAGTTCCCAAGCCTGGGATCGAGGTCTGGGCCAGAAGGAGTCCTTTTGGCCATTGTCAGCATCCAGAGACCATCCCCAGATTCCCAGGCAGTTTGCTGGGTGCTCCTGACCCAGTCTCAGCTCGAGATGCTGGCTCCAACTTCACCCTCTCCAGGGAGCCATGAAGAACATGGTGGAGAGACCCCTCTGTGTGGGCACAAGGGCCTCTCGGGATCTGGGAGCCAGGGTCTGCCCGACTCTGCTCTCCCCATGTCTTCATCCATGCAGTGGGGACACCAGGAAGTGCTGCACACAGTAGGTGCTCAGGAAAGGGCCCACTGTCCTGACCTGACCTCCCGTGGTGGTGGCGGTGGGGTCCATCCTGCCTGTCCCTTGGGTTAGGCCCCCTTCCTCTTTCTTGGTCACCACAGCAGGCACTGTAACCCTGGTGTATGTGGGGGATGAATGAGGAGCTCAGCGCCAGGCTGTGGTGACATGCACAGTCTGATGGGTGTCTTGAAGCCCTTCTCTAATGCTGTTATCGTTGGTGGCATTAGTTTATGATTGACAGTCCCCAGTAAATCAGTGTTTAAAGTCTTGTTTCTTTCTGATTGAATCAAGACTTCAGTGAGACCCCCACGCTGTGATTTTAGGTTTCCCTCTACCTTCCCCTTCCTTCCCTTTGGGGCTCCTTTGTTGAAGAAACCCTGTCCCTCATCTTGCAGACATGTCTGGGTTTGGTGCCTCCACCCCCAAGGCATTCAGCGCCCTGCTAGGAGCTGTGTCCCTGTCAGCTGGTACCAAGCCCAGGCGCTGGGCTCCCTGTAGGACAACCCCTGTGTCTGTCACATTGGCTGAGCAGGTGTTCTGATCACAGGCTCTAGGGCTGCACATCCATGACCTCCCTGACCCCCGTGCCTTCCCTGGACCTGCCTTTGGGTCCCCTACCTGTGCTCTGCGTGTGTTTTCCTGGCTGTGTGGTTTCTGAGGGAAGGCGGGATGTGTGCTGGGTCCCCACCCATGTTCCATGTGACTCCTGCAGCTTCCAAGAGAGAATGGACTGAGACTGCTCACGTACTGTCCCTGGGACAGCCCTCCAGGGAGTGAGGCCCTGTTCCTTCCTGGGCACCTGCTGTGCTCCCTCCCCTCCCTTCAGCCTCAGCCACACAGGACCTGCAGGGTCCCAGGTGAGGGCTCTGCAGGCTGTGACACTGTCACCCACAAGGATAGGCTGCTCCTTGCTGGCCCACCCTGGAGTGCCCCCCACCCGCCTTACCCTTTGTGACCTGACTGACTCCGTTCCTCCCCCAGCCTGTCAGCCTCCCGGAAGCCTCCTCGAGACGCCCACCCCTTTCTGCCCTGGCATCTGTCTGTCAGTTCAAGTTGGGGGAGTGTGGGTCACACACCCCTTGGGACAAGCATCTTGATCAGGGATGGGGTATGGAGAAGGAAGGAGTGGGCTGTGTCGAGGTCGCTGAGGGTCATGCCACTGTCTGTAGCAGGTGTGTGAGGCTAGATGCTGGGAGAAGAGGTTGGCCATCTGCTGCCTCTATCCTCTGTCACTATTTGCAGCGGGGGAGACGGACAGAAGGCTTTTCCTTAGGATTGGTGATTGGGGCAAGGAAGCCTTGCTTTGCCAGTTCCCTTACCCCAGAGAGACCACAGCCACCTGGGATGAGGGGAAGATTTTCCAGTATGGTGTAGACCCATCTTGATCCCACCCTGGGCTCGAGTAAAAGTCATGCTGCTGGGTGTTGCTTGGAGAGGCCCATTCGCCTGTCCATCCTTGAGGGACTTGCTGCTGCTGGAGACACCTTCACAATGTGGTCCGCAGCACTGTCCTCCCTGAGCGCCCACTCTCACACATCGCCATCCCTGGAGCTTGCAGAGCTGGCATGTCCACCGTGTCACCCACCCACCCTGGGCAGCCAGGCCTCCTCTGCCCCTGAGCAATCCCACCAGGACTGAACATGCGGGAGCCAGGAGCTCAGCCTGCCCAAGAAAGGCAGATGGAAAGGCCGAGACAGCAAGGCTGGGAGCTGCACTGTCCGAGCCTCCTCCTGAGCAGGCGGGCGGCACCTTTGAGTTCCTGAATTTCAGGTCACAGCGTTCTCCCACGCCTCTGCTCCTGGTCTCTCCTCTCCCAGCGTATCACACTGCACTAGACTCAGATATATTCACATACAATAAACTTCGCCCCTTCTTTGTTTTTACTCTTGTTTTCATGTGGTGCTGGGGCTAGAACCCAGGATCTCACCTGCCAGGCAGGTGCACTACCCCAGCCCTCACCCTTTTAAAATATATAAATTACAATGTGTAGTTGTCAGTTTTTGATTCCATAATATTTCCATCACCCCCCCAGAAACACCTGGTTCCCCATGAGCAGCCACTCCTGTATCTCTCCCCCCACCCCCTGGCACCCACGAATCCACCATCTGCCTCTGTGGGTGTTAGGTGTGAACAGGGCCATGAGATGTGTTTCTTTGTGTCTGGCTTCTGAGCACAGTGTTCCCAAGGGCCATCCACTGTACCATGTATTAGTGCCTTGTCCTTTTTTAAGGCCGAGGAATATTCCAGTGGTGAGTGGACCACACTTTGTTCCTCCTGCTTTCTGCATGGCCACTGGGTTGTTTCCACTTGGCGACTATTTTGAGTAATCCTGCTGTGGTCGTGGCCGGCTAATACTTCGTGTGAAAATATTTTCAGTTCTTTCAACCTGGGTCGTGTGGTGACTCTGTGTGGCATATGGAAGACCTGCCGGATAGTTTTCCAGAGGGGCTGTCCATGCTGCACTCCCCCAGCAGCACACAAGGGTTCCAGCATGTGTGTGTGTGTGTGTGTGTGTGTGTCTTTTCTCATTGCTGAGACAAAATACCTACCACCTAAAGTTAAAGGAAGGATTTATTCAGTGCACAGTTTGTCAAAGTTTCAGTTCATAGCTGGCTCCAAGATGGGGGCATGGCAGAGGGGAATCAAGGGCATCACGGAGCAGGTAAGCAGAAAGCAGCAAGTGACAAGTGACAACCCTCTCTTTCTGTCCCTTATGTTCTATCTAGGCTACTTGTCCTTAGAGTGGGTAACACTCACCCTAGAACTATGCCAGACCAATCAGTGGATTCATTTAGTAACCACACACCCTTAATCCTAGTGTCACACTCTAAATCCAACCACCTCTGAAAAAGCCCCACCTATGACCCCATGAGGCTTTGGGGCGACATCTAGACACAAGCCACATGCACATGTGTATGTGTAGATTTTAGCCATCCTAATGGGTATGAACTGGGTTTGGGTGTGTATCCTGCTAACAGTTACCATTGGACCAGGTTTTGCATGCTTCTTGACCACTTGTACACCTTTGGGGAAACATCTATTCAAGTCCTTCATCTGTTTTTTAATGTGTTGTCTTTGTACTGTTGAGTTATAAGAATATTTTTTATGTATGACCTATTACCAGATTACTGATTTCCAAATATAGTCTCCCATCCTGTGAGTTATCTTTTTTACCCTCTTGGTAAGTATATTTACAAGGTTTGTCATTTTGATGCAGTTCAAATTACGTGTTTTTTCTTCTGCTGTCTGTGCATTTGGTGTCTCATATAAGAAAATTCACCCAATCCCAGGTCATGAAACCCTGGTTTTCTTTGGAGAGTTTTGTCATTTAGGTTGCTGGTCTCTTTTGAGTTATTTGCTGCGTGTGGTGTGAGGTAGGGATCCTGTTTCATTCTTTCGCATGTGACTGTCCGGTTGTCCCAGCAGCATTTGTTGAAGAGACTCCTGTCCACCTTGAATTCTCTCAGCACCCTGGCCAGACACCGGTTGTCCATAAATGTGGGCAGACCTGACCCACCTGGGAGCCTTGGTCTCACGCTGGCTGGGCAGAGGCAGGGAGTCAAGGTGTTGAGATGGGGGCTTTGCCCTGCTCCCCAGGGCAGTGTGTCTCTGAGCCTCGGTTTCCCCATTTGTCCACTGTGCTGGGGGCTGAAGAGAGAAGCAGGCGCCAGACTAGCAACAAGATTGAAGCTGTTGTCAGTGATCTTGGTTTCCCTGGGGGGTCCGCTTTGCCCCATCTGCTGTAAGTGATAGTTCATTTATTTTGAATGACAGAAAGGAGGAGAAGCAGCATGGACCCAGGGAGGAGAACCGGGGGCAGGTGAGAGGGCTCGGAGGGGGCAATCCATGTCATCCCCACTGTCCTTGTCCCGCCCATGCTGACATGGACTTCCATTTCCTTTGTTCCAGGAGGAGCCAAGGAAGGTTTGCTTCACCTACGACCTGTTCCTGAACCTGGAGGGCAACCCGCCCGTGAACCACCTGCGTTGTGAGAAGCTCACCTTCAACAATCCTACCACCGAGTTCCGCTACAAGCTGCTCATGGCTGGCGGGGTAAGTGTGCCTGCAGGGCTCCCCGGCCTTCACAGTGGGGCAGCTTCCAGTGCCACCTGTTGGACTGTTTCCCCAGCAACCATGGGTAATTGGCGTCTTCCACATGAGACTGGGCTGTCCGTGTGCTAGGCCAGGGCTGGGCTGCTGCTGTCTCCAGCCATCGAGGAGCCCTGGTGTGTGGTGCACACTGCCTGCCACATTTGTCCTCAGGAGCCACTCAGTGGGACACCCATGTGATGTGTGGTGCACTGCATGGAGCCCTGTGGGCATGACGTGGAAGAGGCGGTACAGGCAGAGGTCACCCAGCATGCTTGGGTGCCAGGCACACACATGCAACAGAGCCGGCCCAGGGCCTTAGGGTGTATGGGGAGTGGGGGGGTACATGGAGTACATGTGGTGTACACTGTGGTGTGGGGCTGTTTGTGTTGGGGTGTGGGGTATGTGTGGTGTCGAGTATGTGAGATGTGTATGGAGTACAGTATGTTTGTGTTGTGGGGAGTGTGTGTGTAATGTGAGGTGGATGTGTAGTGGTGTAAATGATGTGGTGTTTGATGCATGTGTGAGGTGTGTGAAGCATGGGTGTGAGGTGTGTGCACACATGTGGGACCAGCCCACCTCCCAGGTGCATGAGAGCAGTCATGTGCTGCTTGGGGCTGGGGCACAGCCCCTTACTATCACTCACACAGCTGGGTCTGAGGAATGGCTCCTTCCCCACGAGAGCCAGTACATTCCTGAAGAAAGTCTTCGAGGGGCTGGGTCCTGCGTGTCCTAACAGGTGCAGCCCATGGCTTGTGCTTCTGCCAACCAGAGCTGCTTCTGGCTGCAGCCCTGGTCCCACCTCCTGTTTGTGGCCAGCTGTCTTCCATAGTGTTCACAAGGTGTTTATGGGCGTCCCCAAGGTCACACTTGTGTGGAAGATGCTCGCGTCCTTGGGCCTCTCTGAGCCTCTCGGCTCCCACAGGAGGCGTCTCCCCTGCTCCTGCATGGAGGAAACAGACTTCCAAGGGCATCATCTAAACACGTAAAACCGGGCAGGGAGGCCAGACAGGTCAGCATGCAAGTCCCTGCCAGAGGTGCCTGCTGGGCTCTCCCTTGGCCACAGCTGCCTGAGAAGCTGGCTGGCTGTCAGGAGCTCCCCAGCCGTCCTATGCTGACAGCAGAGCAATGCTCTCCAGCTGAGAACCACCCTGATCCCCAAACGGCAGCTCTCGGGGTTCCCAGGACTGGGTAACCAGCCCTCATGCTGGCTGTCCCAGAGCTCCAGGCATCCTGGGAACAGCAGGTGGTCCCAGCCCCAACGTGTGGCTGTTGTGCTGGAGGAGCCAGAGCAAGGAGCCGAGCTGTAAGTTCCAGAGAGCTGCGATCTGTCCCCTCCACTGTGGCTGGAGTTGTGGAGCTCAGAGGAGAGTGGGTTTCCTGCTGTCCTAGCCAGGCAGAGCCAGCCCTGCAGCCCCACAGCTATTTCTTGTCCTCTGCCTGTGGGCTGAGGGCCTCGCAACAGTGCCTGCAGAGGGAGCAGGAGACCTGACTGCTCTTCCTTTCCCCTGGCTCTGAGCACCCTGTCAAGGAGAGATGCTGGTTCTGAGGAGCCGCTCAGGAAAGGAGACTTGATGGGCAGGGTGAGGTGACATGGGGAGGAGGATGCTGGGAGTGCAGAGGGTGTGCAGCCCTGAGGCAGGAGGACCTCACGTGGCTCATGCTTGTGGCTGGGGTGGGCGCGGCCTTGGTGGAAGCCTCAGCATTGTGGACAGACAGGCTCTATTGGCTGTCAGCAGCCAGGACAGCCCCAGGATTGTTGCCCGGTGACCGTGTGACATCAGCGGCCTCAAATGAAAGGGTTGGCTTGGTGACAAAGCCCAGGTACTCATGGTTACCAGGGCTGCTGCTGCTTCCAAGTTGGAGTCTGTTGTTGTTGTTGCTGTTGCTGCTGCTGCTTTTATTTTTTTGTCCTATCTTGCTGCCATCTGGAAGGTGTCCAAATAGCCACCCCATTGCTGTGTTGTTCACAGTGTGGGTGTTTGGAGATCTCACTCCGAGCATTCTCTCCCTACCCAGGTACCTGTTGTGGCTGGGCAGGCGTTTGCTAGAAGGACCTGGCCCTTCCTCATCTGTAGCTATCTAGCAGAGCAGGAGCCGGCCTTCCAACCTTGGGCTGTTGCCTCTCTGGGCCTTTGAGGTGGCTTAGGCAGGGATGCCTGCGGGCAGCTCCTGTCACAGCTGCTGGTCTTCTGCCGTGGTCTTGGTCTTGGTCCCATCTTGCTCAGCCTTATGCTCGCGCTGTGTTTGAGTCAGCTTCAGCTGCCTGCAAGGGGAGGGAGGGAGGCCGTGCCCGGCACCATGGGACCCGCCAAAGCCGCATCCATCAAGCCCTTGGAAGCTGCTTGCTCTCCCACATGGCTGCCCTTTGGGGTCCAGCTGGCTCCTGCCTTCCCAGCTCTGCCCAGCTCTCTAAGCCTCACATGAAGGTCAGCCTGGGGTCTCAGCTGCCTTATGCTTCTCTGCCTGCATGCTGCTCAAGTATTCTTGGCCCAGTGCTGTCTCTGCCAGGCCTGACCTGTTCTGGAGGTCCCCCTGGGCCCTGCCATCCTGGGAGCCTGGGCTCCTCCTCAAGTTCCTCACTCAGCACCCACTCCCCCCACAGAGAAAATACCTGTGATTCTTTTGGGAAGGTGGATCTCAGGCTCCCCTTCTCCCCTGCTTCAAGAAGCAAGCTTCACGGCCTTGGGGTGCAGCTACCCCTTGCCCGTTGATAACATCTGTCTCTTCTTTATCACTAGGTCATGGTAATGCCCGAAGGAGCAGAAACGGTGTCCAGGCCCAGTCCCGACTACCCCATGTTACCCACAATTCCACTCTCTGCCTTCTCTGACCCCAAGAAGACCAAACCATCCCACGGCTCCAAGGTTAGTGAGGTGGAAGGCCCAGGTCTCCGAGCGGGTGCACAGGGCCCCTGTGCCGAGCTGGCCCTGCGATCCAGCCCTGCTCCCTTGGCATCTTGCTTCTTGAGCTCTCTGCCTCACCTTTCTGCTCACTCTTGCTTCTCCAGGATCACAGAGTGTAGGACATGTGATTACAGGCTCCTCGCCTGTTCCTCTTGAGGCCGAGGTCTACCCAGGCTTCCCTTCCTGCCTTGGCCACACTTACTGACCGCGGACACTCAGCCCTGAGGCTGTGGCTGATAGTGTTTCCATCGCAGCTGTGGCTGCCCAGTCTGTGTCTCCTGCCCTGCTGTCCCTAGCTTCTCCCTGCCAGACAACTTGAGGGGTGGCATGTGGCACAGGAGGTGGAGCTGACTTCCACTGATGAAGGCACGTGTTCAGGTCCCATCTCTATCTTGTTGTGCAGGTGGTACTTGGCCTTTCTGACACCTCTCTTGCTGACCCTCCCAGAGTAGCTGTGAGACTAGAAAGCTCTGGGGGCAGCACTGCACCCATGAGCCAGTGACCTATCCCTCTGTTGGCCACACGCTCGGCTCAGTGCTACGTGACTCTCAGGGCAGCTGCTGATCATGTGACTGACCCCCACGTCTGTTCTCTTCTCATCTCTGTGTTCTTCTTGCTCCCTTCCTGTGGGATGTCATGACCCTGGGCACCTGGGCCACCTTAGTCTTCCTATGAACCATGCTGGAGGAACACAAGGCACAGGGTCATTCTGGCCTCTTCCAGAAGGCCAACAGTTCTTGGAAACCCTCAGGCACCTCCTGTCTTGGAGTCTGATTGTGACTCTGGTCTTCCCACACCAGCCTCTGGGAGGCCTTGTGACTAACAAGCCAGTCCTTGCCAGGGATCTTGGCATCTTCTCTCCAGCCACGCACAGTTCTTTGGATGTCCATGCAAGACAAGAAGGGAAGGGGCTGCTATTTCTTAGGGCTGGGTGCCACAGGGTTACCTAAAGCCCTCTGAGGAAACACCTTCCTAGGTGGCAAGGCCCCTGACCCACAGGGTTCATCTCTGGAAGCTTCATGTCTTGCCAGCCCCCCAGCCGAGAGCCACAGCCCAGTGGTATCTGCCAGTCCCAGAGGCTGTAGGCAGCACCTTGAGCTTGCTCTGCCACTCGAGGACCCTCTTACAAGGCAGCTGTGTGGGGCCCCCCATGCGCTTCTCTGGGGCTCCCTTTCCAGGAAGCCCCAGCCTTGCTGCCACAGGTACCCCATGTACGCTGCTGGCCTCTGCACCATCCTGTGACCACGAGCCTGTGAGCAGCCTCTCCCTCTCCTTGGGCCCTGGCTCTTTGCTTCCACGTTGGTCCTTCACTGCCCAGGCCTAGGGAGCCTGAGTGGCCATCACCTGCTTGGCAGAGTGGGGTCCTGAGGCCTGACCCGTGCAAATCTGTAGGCTGGGTCACCGAGGCAGTCCGGCTGTTACAGTGTGTATGGGTCAGTCTCTGGTGGCTCTGCCTGACCTGAGGTAGCGGCGGGCAGGAGTGAGCCCCGCAGTGCCTGTGGGACAGTCCTGGTGGCCCTGCTTGGAGAGCCCACCCTTGGGCCTGCTCGCCTGAAGCTGCTGGGCCTCCCCCATTGCCCTGTCTGTGTCAGACTGCTGGTTTGGGTGGTTTTTCTTTCTTTCTTTTTTTTCCTGCGGTACGGGGGATCAAACTCAGGACCTTGTACTTGCAAGGCAGACACAGTGCCACTGAGCTACATCCCCAGCCCCTTGGGTGGTTTTCCTAAAACTTGGTTCTTAACTGCTTTGTGGCTCTAGGTAGCTTTGAGAACAGGACTCATGACCCTCACCTGTATGGTCAGCTTTTCAAAATCCAGCATAGCCAGGGATTTACCTCGGTGCCTCCACCTGCCTTGCAAGCTCAAGGTCCCGAGTTCGATCCCTGGTACCAAAAAAAAAAAAATTCAGCATGAATTTCAGAGAGCCTGAGGGAGGCTGGACACACCCCCTAGGAAGATTTCTTCCCACCAGGCAGGTGCTAGTGCCACCCCAGGAACTGCTGTCTGGCCACTGGTGTGTCCTTGGGGTTTGCTTCTCCATCTTTCCCTTGAGGCTGTGACGTAGAGATTGCATACAGCCTATTCTGCTTCTTGCCTCCCTCAAAGCTCACAGGAAGTGGAGCCACCTTCCAGACAGAGACCCACGGGGGGGTCACTCTCAGGCTCACGCTGTGGCCAGGCCAATGGTGGTGATTCAGAATGTGCACTGCTGCCCACGCCTGCCCATCTTCAGGAAAACCATCCTTAACCCCTTGACTCTGACATGGGTTTTAAGTTTCCAAGTTGATGGCAGACTACACAGATCAGAGGTGTGGAGGTGGCTGTGTGTGTCCCTCAGGTGGCCCTAAGAGCAGGTAGCAGAGGCCCTTCCTGCTGCTGGGGGCGGACCTGGCCATCCTAACCACTCAGTGTGTTGCCTCCCCCCGTGACATTCCTAGCTGCCTTGCGGAAGCCCACCCAGTCCTGTTGGTCACTGCACCTGCAGAGCTCCAAGGCTACTGGGAAGCTGCGAACAGAAGCCCCATGGAGTCCCCTGGGGTGTGCGGGGTGACACTAGGGAAAACAGGGCTCCTGCCTCAGAGAGTGCTGGCCGTGTGGTGAGGACCAAGGGGCCAGAGCTCAGGCAGGCTACTGGCGCTGCCCCCACTGACAGTGCTCCCGTCTGTCGGACAAGTCCTCAGCCCAGCAGGTAGGTGTTCCCTCTTCCTCGGGTCAGAGGGATCACAGATGCAGGTGGTGGAGCCAGTGGCACAGGCCTGGCTGATGCGCCTGAGTGCAGGCTCTACCCAGATCCTCTGTGAGAGCGGGAGTGGCCTCTGTCTCGAGAGAGCTGCGCAGGCAGGTTCCATTCCCAAGGCCTGGCAGCTGTGTGCTCTGTGCAGTCCCTGGAAGCAGCAAGCACTCAGTAAATGCTCTCTGCCCGGATCCAGTGAACAGCTGGACAACCAGAGCTGGGAGACCTGCAGGAGAAGGGCTGAGGGGGCGGGGAAGAGCCCACCAGGGTCGCTGAGCCTCCCTTCTCCTAGGCTGTGAGCAGCTACAGGCCTGGGCACGGTGGCCACAGGGCCCTTCTTTCGTGTGTTCTCAAATCCCTCAGAATCTTAGCCTGCAGTTGCCGGGACCTGCTGACCCTCCCTGTAGTGTGAAGGGTCAGCTCCACTTAACACTCTGACCAGCTGCCACACTTTCTCATTTCCAGATTTCTTCTAGCTGAGTCTCTTTCAGGTGGATCTCATTTGGTTGGGGCCAGGGGGTGGCGTAGCCGGGCGGTTCGTGATGCTGGCTGACCATGTCTCTCCCCTGGGACCCCTGCTTTTGGCATCTGTTACAGGATGCCAACAAGGAGAGCAGCAAGGCCTCCAAGCAGCACAAGGTGACCAAGGAGCACCGAGAGCGGCCCCGCAAGGACTCGGAGAGCAAGAGCTCCTCCAAGGAGCTGGAGCGTGAGCAGGCCAAGAGCTCCAAGGACGCCACTCGCAAGCTGGGAGAGGGCCGGCTGCCCAAGGAGGAGAAGGCCCCACCACCCAAGGCTGCGTTCAAGGAGCCCAAGATGGCCCTGAAGGAGACCAAGCTGGAAGGCATGTCCCCCAAGGGGGCACCCCAGCCCCCGGCCCTGGCCAAGGCTTCCAGCAAGCGGCCACCCCCTGCGGACTCGCCAAAGCCCAGCGCCAAAAAGCAGAAGAAGAGCAGCTCAAAGGGGTCCCGGAGCGCCCCTGGCACCTCGCCTCGCACCTCATCTTCCTCCTTCCCTGACAAGAAGCTGGCCAAGGACAAAAGCGGCCCCCGAGTGGAGAAGGTGAAGACGGAGAGCGAGCCCAGGGAGGCCCGGAAGGCCCTGGAGGTGGAGGGCTCCAACTCGGAGGATGAGGCCTCCTTCAAGTCCGAGGTGAGAGCACAGTCCTCCTTTCTCATCCTTGATCAGCAGACAGGCCAGAGTGGCAGGGGACAGACTCAAGTGCAGGAGGTGGGCGGGAGCCAGAAGCCCAGAGCTTAGGCCTGCTCAGTGCCTCCTCCCACTGACTCTCTGTCACCCTAGCCAAATTTTCATACCTCACTGAACCTGTTTCCCCTTCTGTCACAGTGATTGGGCCTGTCTTATGAGAATGACCCCAGCGTGGACCATAGTTAGTGGATCCTGGCTGGTGTCTTCTGGGGCTCTGGCAGGGCCTTACTGGTGCCTGCCTGGGTCCAGAGCTCTGGTCCTGTGCTGCCCACTGCATGGGCTGGGTCCCGGCAGCTGCTTTAGGGCCAGGCAGGCGAATGTGTCTCATGGTGGTGCCCTTCCTGGCCACTGCATGGTCAGCACAGTGAGGAACTTTACCCTCTGCCAACTGGTGTCCCTGCAAGCCTTTGTCCACTGTGCCCATTCAGACATTTAATGGTGGTGACTGGACCACTCCCAGTTCCCTCCCAGATGGGTTGGAGGCACCATCACCCTCTCCCACCCACCAGCAACAGTGTGTCCACAGCTCCCAGGAGACTGCAGTCGGGGGTGACCTGAGTCACATGACCACTGCCAGGCCCTCGGCCTCAACTGGACCTCCTTTGAGGCCTCCGATGGTGGCACTATCTCTGAGCGCCCTGTTGGCACCTGGCATTCAGAGAAACAGTGCTGAAATGAAAGAACGCACAGGCTGGCCCAGGGCCTCTCTCACCTTCCGGCGATTGCACTTTGCCATTAGGGCCACCTTGTGGACCTCCACTTTGAAGTGATTCCCGGAGACGAAGCTACAGGTAGTCTTTGCTGGCTTTGCTGCTTTTGTGTGCATAGGGCTTCGGGGGCCCTTCATGGAGGTGGCAGCATCTGGTGGAGGTAACCATTTGCCTGTAGGCCAAGCACGTCCTCCTCGGTACACATACAAAGCAGATGAGGCCCAGCCCAGAGCATCTTACAGCCAGGGACCTTGAGGACATGATGGCATCTGCCAGCACTCCTTGGCTGTATCTCTGGGCAGCTGCCTGTCCCCTTCTGCCTGCGTCAGAGTCTTGGGTTGGGACAAGTGTCGGTTGTTGGCATTGCCAGGTGAGGGTTCTGCACCCAACGCTACCATGTGCCATGCTGCAAAGTGGTGAGGGCTGGCGCCCCCAGGCCCTGCCCTGCCAACTTCACCTGTAGTTCTGTGCTGACATTAGGGAACACTGTAATGTTCTGTGGGTGCTTCCTTCCTCCTGGGGTACCGTGACTCTGAATGGGGCTGGATTTCACCCCTGTGGCCTGTGGGCAATGTGGCCCCAAGAGATGTTGTTCCAGGGCCGGGGATTTAGCTCAGTGGTTTCGCTGCCTGCTGCGCAGGTGCAAGAACCCGAGTTCGATCCCCGGTACCAAAAAAAAAGATGTTGTTCCCAGAACCCTGGGTTCACTCCCTGGCCACAAGGAGCAACTGTGCCTTGAGTGGCTGCCCAGCACTGTGACCCCCTGGCCACCAGCAGGTGGCCTCTGATTTTTCCTGCCATGGGGCCTCAGCAGAGCCCAGATCCCCACAGCTAAGGATGCAGTACAGTCTCCTGGCCTCTCTTGACCCTTGGGGGATCCTCTCCTGAGGCCACATTTGGCCCCACTGCTGGAAAGCTGGCAGCTCTGCACACCCGACATCACCGCCTCCTCACTGCTAGTGCTCAGCTGGTGCATGCAGAGGCCACAGGCAGCCTCCTGTCTGCGTCCCAGGCCCAGCTTGCCAGTGCCTCTAGCGGCTGCTTGTGAGTCTTCTTGGCCCTTGGGATTCCTGAGCCACCTTGTCCCGTCTGCCCAAGGACCCATGATGAGCCAGGAGTGCTCACTCCTACAGCTTCTGATTTGGGCCACCTCTAGAATTTCTGGCTGAAATCATCTCCTGGTTCCATTCCTCCCTTCCCCTTGGATGTGCACAGGGAGGGGGCAAGTGGGACTGCAAAGCTCTTCCGGCCATCATCCTCTGCCAAGGCCAGCGTCCCTGCCACCCTGTGCAGCCCACAGCTGGTTCCCATTTCAGCCTCCTGCCTCACCCCTGGGTGTGAGTGCATGCATGGGACCTTCAGGAAGGGTGCCACCGCCACCCACCCAGCAGTGCTGTGCAGACTCAGCCCCAGAGGCTAGGGGAGCGTCGCATGGGCCTCTGTGTGCTGAAGGCTGGAACCCATAGCTAGCTCCTTTATAGAAGGGGAAACCGAGGCTTAAAACTAGGGACTGCCTCGCCGAGTACCAAGGCTAGCTGTGAGAAAGCTAAAGTGACAACAGGGCCCTGGGAGCAGCCAACTCTTACTCACCATTTGTTCTCCACTCCCTGTGTTCAAGAGTAGCCTCTGGAGCTGGGTGATCCGGGGCTTAGCTCACATGCTGGGGAGCGCAGTTGTGCTGCGTGCTGTCTCAGGGCTTCCATCAAAGCGCACAGGGCCCATGGGGAGCTGGATGGCTCTCTCTCCAGGGCAGGCTCCCCAGGGAAGTCTGAATGCCAGTAGGAAGATGAGTGAAGAGCTGCTGTGACCGGGTGCCCTCTGAGACTGTGGCGGGCCAGCGGCCCGGGAAGCTGAGGAAAGAGCCTCCCACACGCCCCAGGCAGCCTGTTCCTGCCTGAGGCTTCCCCTGCTCTTCTCTCCTGGCGCGGGCAGCTACAATGGTGTCTACCCGAGCCCAGGAGACTGGCTGGCTGGCTGTCCCCTTCCACCTGCTCTTAACAGCTGGAAGAGGCTGAAGGCACTGAGGTCCCCAAGGGGAAGGGCTTGCTAGGTGCCTGGCCCACACCAGGGCTGTCCACTGCAGCCCATCCTCACCATTGGTCCCTCCACCATGCAGTATCTGCTGTGAGTGGTGTGTCTGCCCTGGGAGACGCAGCCACGGGCACATACACCTGCGTGTGTACACACATACGCATGCACACACGCACCATAACCCCCCTGCGCATCTTACCCTGTGTCCACATCACCTTTGCTTTGGCTTTATTGCCCCCTGGTGACTGAGTCAGGTGCACAGCTGCAGAAGCATGGCCAAGCCCCAGGTGTCTCCCATGCATGGATACGCAGCTCCCTTCCTCAGCTCCTGCGAGACTGGCAGCAACAGCTGGATGGACCCCCGGCAGAGTGAGGGTCAGAATGAGAAGCCAGGGCTCCTCGGCAGCTTTCCCAGCCCCACCTGCAACCCCAGCCAGTGCCTGTTCCTGGGAGGCAGGCAGGGTCCATGGCCTGGTCACTGTGGTAAACTCAGGCCCTTTGGTGGGAAGGATGCTCTGGTGCAAGCCAGAAGTGGCCTGGGGCTGCGTAGTGGTTGCCGGCTCCCTGCAGGGTCTGGGAAAGGCTGGCTCGGGCACCTCGGGGAAGTGCTGTCAGCGTCCCACTGCCTCTCCTCGGCCCTGAAAGGTGACTGTTTTTTCCCCTTCTGTCCCTGCCACCGCCGTCCGGGGGAAGTCTGCCCAGTCAAGCCCATCCAACTCAAGCTCCAGCCCTGACTCCAGCTCTGACTCAGATTTTGAGCCTTCTCAGAACCACAGCCAAGGTGGGTGATGAGGTGGAGGCCGAGGTGGACGGAGGAGCAGCAGGCATGGTGATTGGAGCACTTGTAGCTGCCCCCTCATCAGATGGATTCGTACGGGGCCTTGGTGGTGACCGGCTGGAGGTTGGGGGGCGGCGGTGGAGACGTCCACCTGTCCTGTGTGCAGACCCTTCGGGACGGGGGTGCTCAGCCAGCCTGGACTGGCAGACCCATGCATGTCGATTCCTCATAGCCTGGGGAGCTGGCATTGAAAAGTGGAACAAAAACAAGTCTCCAGACCTTGGGCCAGGTCTAGGGGATGATTCTTCCCTACTGTAGCCCAGGTGTCCTTGTGAAGGGCTGTGGCCCCCCCTGTGAGACCTGGCAGCTGTCAGGAGGGCTCTGCAGTGCCTCCCAAGCAAGGCTCATTGGCTGCTGCTCAGCACTATGGGCAGCGCACCCTGGGCCAAGCCTCCCCTGTCCTGTCTCATCGTGTCTGAGGTGTGTGATCTCCATGGCCTGGGGCTCCAGATGGTCTGTGGCCACTGAGTCTGCACATCTGCCCTCTCCCTGCTGTCTTCCTGCAAGCTGCCCTCGAGGGCTTTTTGAGGGAGTACACAAGCCTGCCCCGGAGTGGGCCCCCAGGGACACCCACAGACCAGAAGCAGGTCTTCTAGTGGGTTGGAATCTCCTCTGCCCCTCAGTGGAATTCTTCTAGGGGTGCTGGGGGAGGGAATGTACGGGGGTCTGCCCGGGAATCCATGTGAGCTGGGGGATGGGGTCTTGGAAGCCCACAGCCTGGCTTTGGTTCCTATCGGTGGGTTAGGGAGGGGACCTACTGAAGTGATGTCACATGACCAAGGTAATTGAGGGCTTTGTGTCCCTCTGTTGCCTTGGCAACAGGAATATAAACCAAGATGCTGTCTGTAGGGGACTGGAACCGGGTGCCTCTGGAGAAAGGGGAGGACGGTGGGCTGGGAGCAGCAGTCAGGGTTCCTGAAGGGCTGGACAGCCCTGAGTAGGAGTGCCAGCTGGACGAAGGGCCCGTGGCCCTGGCCCCTGTGCCTTCTCCAGCAGGGACTGGCTTGGTCTGATCTTGGGGCTTTGGTGATGGAGGGTCCCTGTGGCCCTGCTGCAGGCCAAGGGCCTGAGGTCTGTGAGGAAGTGCAGGAAGGTAAGGGGGCTAGGGGCCTCTCTAAGGTATTGGCAGGGGCGACCACAGGCACTTACTTGTGTGATTTGGGGTCATCAGTGTCAAGCTGCTGTGGGCTTGGGAGAGGCGCCCCAGAGGCCCATCTGGAGCCCTGCTGTCCCTGCCCCTCCTCCCCCCCCAGGACCCCTGCGCTCCATGGTGGAGGACCTGCAGTCCGAGGAGTCGGATGAGGACGACTCTTCATCGGGTGAGGAGGCCACTGTCAAGGTGAACCCAGGCCGGGATTCCAGGTGACTGGGCTAGCAGGAGGGAGTGGGCCTGCTGTGATTGAGATCCCTAGGGGATGGTCTGGGACTGAGGGAGGGCTGAGTCAGGATCAGGTCCCCTGTGAGGGAACTCCCAAGCCTGCTGGACATGAGGACTCTGCGTGACCCCACCCCACCTGGGCCCTGGGTGGGCTGGGCCGGGCCGGCTGTCCTCTCCTGCTACGGGGGCCCCGAGGCGACATCCCTCACTATTACAGGAGGTGTGGTTGCCACAGGCAACTCAACCACTGCTCCTCTCAGAAGGGGTTGGGCCCTGAAGGGTCCTGTGCCCCCCAGCCCTTGCCTACATTTGTGCCACAGACACCCTGGTGTGGGGATAAGGTCTGTGTGCCCTCAGGTGCCCTGGGTCCTTGGAGATCCCAGCTCTATGGAGGCTCTGTGCTTTGGCCTCCACCTGCCCTGTCCTCAGGCCCTCAGGTTTGGTGGGAGGCTCTGGGCTTGTTCAGGGCTGGGAGCAACAGCTGGACACAGGCACTGGGTGGGGCCAGTCAGAATTCTTTCCCCAAGAGGCTGAGCCCCCCGGTCTCCAGGGCTTCTGTAAGTTGGTACCTGTGTCGGTCCACAGCACAAGGCACAGGAAGCTAAGGGACACTTGCAACCATTCTGTTACTGGCAAAAAAAACAACAAAAAAACACCAAACTGAAAGCCAGGCCTGACAGTCTTCACACAGGAACCCTGTGTGGCAAGTGCCACCATCCCCCCACCCCCACCCCGGCAGGTAGGGCCCCACTTCTGCCACAGGTAGAGTAGGTTCTGACGGGACGATGTGGTGTGGATTCGGCAGGCACTGTCCTGATCGAGGGCTGAGCAGAGGTGTGGGGACCTGACGGAAGGGGCCCCTGTGACATCCTCTTTGCCAGGGGCCCTGGGTGGGAGCTCACTGATGCAGGGCTGAATGGCTGCTGTCCTTGCACTGTTGGGAGGGGGCCACACAGGCTGTGTGGAGGCACAACAGGTGCTGGCTAGGCTACCTGTTGGAGCAGCAAGAGGCAGCCTTGAGGAGCAAGCTAGAGGCTGCCATGTTGCCCTGGCAACCAGAGTGACCTGGAGCTGGGTCCTTGGCCTCAGAGCAGGAGCCCTGGGCAGAGCCTGGCGCTCGCTGTGGGAAGAGGTAAATGAAAGGCACAGGCCACACCTGGGCGGGGAGCAGGACAGGAGCCAAGAGGTGGTCACACTGCCTGGTTCCAGCCTGCAGAGGGTCCTTCACCTGTCCTGGCACTCCTTTAGTAGTGAGGTGAAGATGGCAGCACCCTCTCCCCAGACAGAGGAGGAAGTGGATTCAACACGTTGTCAGGTAGCAGTTGTTGGGGCCCTTAGTGGATCAAGCTCAAAGTGGACCTGGTAAAACGGACCCAACACAGAGACTGCTGAGGACATTGTGCAGGGCCTGTGGAGATAGGGCATGTGTCTGCAGGAGAGAGCAACGAGCAGGGGTGGTTTACAGCTCAGTGGTGAGTGCCTGCTGGTGTGAGGCCGGGTTCCAGTGCCCAGAGCTGCACCAGGCAGCAGGTGTCCTCCAGACGAAGAGTAAGAGCCAGCCAGAGTTCACTGGCCATCAGTGCCACCTTGCCCTGGCCCAAGTGGTCATGTGTCACTGCAGATTAGAGCTCAGTCTCCTCACGCAGCCGCCTTCTACAGAGGAGGAAACTGGCAGAGGTTGGGACCTGCCCCAGCCCTTTGACCGCCGCCAGACTCCGTTTAGCCCCCCTGGCCCCATCAGGGCCCGTGTAGCAGCATTAGGGCTGGGGGAGAGACTCCTGTAGGCAGCTCCTCCAAGCTGAAGGATGCACCAGCAGGGCGGGCACACTCAGGCTTGATGCTTGCAAAGAGCTGGGCCTCTCAGAGTCCTGGGGCCAGGTTGGGCGTGGCCTGATGCAGCTCCATGTGGTATCTAGGTTGAGCTTCAGCGACAGCGAGAGTGACAACAGCGCCGACTCCTGCCTGCCTGGCCGTGAGCCCCCACCCCCCCAGAAGCCGCCCCCGCCCAACAGCAAGGTGAGGGCATGGGGCTGGGGTCGGTTGGGGCAAGGGAGGCTGAGGGGTGGGGGAGGGGAGGGGAGGGGCTCAGCAGACACCTGGGTCTCCCATAGGCGTCAGGCCGGAGGAGCCCCGAGCCCTGCAGCAAGCCCGAGAAGATTCTCAAGAAGGGTGCCTATGACAAGGTGACCATGGGTGCTGGTGGGAAGGGTGGCACGGCCCCTCCCGGTGGAGCTGCCTTGGCTGGGGCTGGGAGGGGTCGCCTGCTGGGCTGAGCCTTGCGTGCCCCTCCTAGGCCTACACAGATGAGCTGGTGGAGCTGCACCGGAGGCTGATGGCTCTGCGGGAGCGCAACGTGCTGCAGCAGGTAGGCCTGGGCCTGGAGCCCCTCCTCCCTCTGTCTCTCAGCCTCCAGCCCCTGAGGCCCTGCTCCCCCTTGCAGATCGTGAACCTGATCGAGGAGACTGGCCACTTCAATGTCACCAACACCACCTTTGACTTTGACCTCTTCTCCCTGGACGAGAGCACCGTGCGCAAGTTGCAGAGCTACCTGGAGGCCGTGGCCACATGACCCTGGGTGGGAGCTGGGCCCTGCCACCCACTGGGGTCCTGGGAGGCCGAGCAGGCCCCGCACGCCTCCCTTCTCTCCATGCACCACCCGCGCAGCACTGCCTTAGTGACCGCCCTGCCCAGCCCTCACAGCCAGCTGCACTTTCCTGGGTGGCTCCCGAGCACCCCAGGCTGCCCGGTGGGCACCCAGGCACGATCACCTGGGCACGGTCACCCAGGCTCCCCTTGGAGGGTGCTTTGTGCAGAAAGCAGAGCCGGGCCTGGCTCCTAAAAGAGGAAGAAGCTTTCGTAGAATGCATGTGGCTGAGGGCCCCTCACTCGCCCTCGGAACTGTGGGCCTCTAAGCAGCCAGCCATCCTGTGTGCACCCCCCCTCCCCAACGGTTTGGAAGCTCCCTGGGGTGCCAGGCCCTCAGAGACCCATGTGGGGCCGAGGCCAGCCAGGCTGGCCCGTCTGTACAGCTGTCTGTATTATATATATGTGCGCTGCGTGTGTTCAGGAGCGGGTCCCGTGTGCGTTTCTGTGCTGAGCTGCACGTGGGGGGTGGGGGGCAAGGGAAGGGCTTGTAGGTTAAGAAGTCTGGGGGTCTTGTCTCGGGCTGACCCTCTCCAGGGCGTGGAGGGAGCCTCCCTCTGGTTTCAAGGACTCTGGGCTCCTGGGCCCCTGGGCCAGTGAACACTACAGCCACGACGGGGTGGCCTGTCCTCAGGGCCCCCGGGGATAGACATGTCTGCATCCCTGGGGCTCCTCCTCCATAGGACCTTCTTCCTCCACTGTCATCGATCAAGTCTTCGAACTTTGAACAAATGAGCTTTTGCCAAATAAGACAGGATGGATTGCGCTGGGAGGTGCGTCTGGGTTGCTGCCTCTCCAGCCGTGGCCTCCGCTTCCGCCGTTGCGGCTCCCACCAGGCCCAGCCTGGGACATTTTCCTATCTGCCTGAAGTTCTCCAAGGGCTGTACCGGTCACCCTCTCAGAGCCGGGAGCCCTGGCACAGTGTGCCCACACCCAGTTTTCCTGGACCCGGGCCCTGCGCCTCCAGACCCCCGTCCTGACTTGAGAGTCGCTGCCAGTGTTGGTACCCTGACCTGGGTGTGGCCAGGGGAACGGGGCCTGGGTTGGCCCCTGTCCTCTACCCTGTTGTTAGATGTCCATTCTTCCCTGTTACGAGCTCAGTTGTGGGAAGCCCTGGCTTTTCTTTCCTGGGGTCCATGGTCCTGTCCTTGCTCGGAGTCTACCGGAACACTCCTGGGGGACCCCTGCCTCCAAGGCGTCCCCCACACCAGCATTGCTGGGGGCTCCCCTGGTTCTTGGGGAGAGGCCCGACAGCTCCGAAGGGAGCCTCTGTCTCCTGCTCCCACTGCCCTCAGGCCCCGCCGCCACATCCCCTTCCCAGGCAGGCCAGCAATACTCACAGTACGTCCTCGCCGCCTCCCCTCGGGGAACTCTCCAAGACGTGGAACAGAAGGGCCTGGCTCCACAAGCAGCCGTGGGGCCACATGGAGAAGCCTCAGCTCCGAGCAATGGCCTTCCTCCTGCCTGAGGGTCCCGGGAGCCCCACAGTGACCTGGGCTGGCGCTCCGCCACCCGGACAGTGGTGTCTGGCCCTTGCTGTGGTTTCAGGATCTCCAGGAGCACCGACCCACTTCTCAGTTACCTCCTCAGGCTAGAAGGCCTCACCGCTATTCTCCAGAACTGCTCTGGGCCCAGGGCCAGCTCACTGACCAGCCAAGGATAAATGTGCTGGGCACTGGGGCCCTGACTGCAGCCTCCCCAGCTGCTCCCTCCCTGCCACAGCTCAGGCAGCTGGGCCCAGGGGGCTCTGGGGACACTTCCATAGGAAGGGGCTGGCACCTTGTGATTGCCACGCGTCTCGTGTTAAGCCGCCTGCCCCTAATCCAAACCCCCATGTTTCCTCTTTCCTGAATGAATTGTAAACCGACTCCAGAACACAAAAGGTATCGAATACCTTCCTTCCCCACAAGGGTTTTTAACCAAGAATGTGTCTCGATAGGAACTAGACACTTCACGGGCCCAAGACCAACTCCTGGATCAAAGGAAAAAGGAGGAGTGTGTTTGTAACGAGTTACAGGATTGTTTCTGTCCTGGATTTTAAACTTTTTGTTAAATTGTGAAATTATGGAGGAGTTTTATAGAAAAAAAAGTGAAATAAAGTCAGATGGTAAAGCAGACCTCTGCATCTCTGGTGTCCCGTGCCATGGGTAGGTGGTGGGAGGAGCATTGAGTCCCTGCTTGTGTCCCGGGGCCTCCAGGTCAGAGACCCGGAGAGGGGGGACTGGGACCGACTGGGACCAGGTCTGGTGGGGGTGTGAGTGGGCTTGGCATCCTGGAGGAACAGAGAAGGTACCACCCGAATCCAGGGGCGGGTGGCGGGTAGTAGAGCGGAGGCCAGTGCCAAGCCATGCTGGTCTCTGTCCTTGGAAGCAGGCATCAGGGTTGGGCTCGCAGAGCAAATTTGGTTTTGTTGGATGGATGGGTAGATGGGAGGGTACAAAAGTGGATGGATGAGTAGGTGGATGGGCGGGTAGGTGGGTAAGGGGATGGAGGGTGGGTGGGTGGAGATGGATAGGAAAATGGGCAAAGACCTCCGCTGAGAGGAGCCCAGGTGCCTGCCCGCCCCATTCCATGTAGATTTTCCTGTGGCCCTGGTGTGACAGAGCTGAGGGACCCTGCACAGCTCTTGCTGGTTGTGTTGAGCCAGACCTGTGTATTCCAGGCTCCAGCTCCACCCAGAGGCGCAGATGCCCTCATGAGCGGTGCACATTACCAGCCTGTATCTGGCCACCCTGCCCGCAGTGGTGCTGCCAGTTGAGACCACTTGTCTCAGCAGGTGGCAGCTGGGGGCCTCCCCGGTCAGGCACAGCCTAGCACCGGGTCCCTCGGGAGCGTATCGTCTGTCCCCACTCAGGGCTGTGGCTGCTGGAACCTCCGCCTTTCCTGCCAGAGACAGCTGCAGGCTTTGTAGTTTCTGCGCCCCCACAGGAGGACTGTGAAGTCCACCAGGGTTTCGTGTGGCTCCCCGTGGGGCCTGGTCATCTCCATTTGGCACTTGAGGTGGGTACTGCATCAGAATCCCCATTTGTTCATTTGGTTTTGGTTTTTTGAGACGGGGTCTCACTGTGTAGCCCAGGCTGGCCTGGAATTCATGGCTGTCCTCCTGCCTCAGCCTCCCAAGTGCTGGAATAACAGGCATGCGCCCCAACACCTGACCAGAATCCCTGTTGACAGGTGGGGAAGCAGTCTCACAGAGCACACCTGCCCCAGGTAACGCTGCATAGCCAGCTGTGCATGGCAGATTCTCTTGCCCTCATGTGCCTACCCACCAGTCAAAGAGATGCAAGGCTGTCACAATCCACTAGTGAGCTTTTTAAAAATTAGTTTGAGGGCCAGGGATTTAGCTCAGTGGTTCCACCACCTGCCCTGCAAGCGCAAGGACCCAAGTTTGATCCCCGATACCAAAAAAAAAATTGTGTGAATTCTCATACATTAGTACAATACTTTATAGGCTTTCCTGTGAGCTCAGCTTGGGTCAGATCACCCAGGGATACTGGATTAGCCCATTTTTTGATGCTATCACAAAATACCCAAGACTGGATAATTTATAAAGGAAAGGTTTTATTAGCATATGACTCTGGAGGCCAGAACTCCAAAGTCGGGTGGTGGCAGCATCTGCTTGGCTTTTGGTGAGGATCTCAGGCTCCTCAGTGCATGTCGGAAAAGCAGAACAAGAGGGGAAAGGAGACTGAACTCTCACAATAGCTAACTTGTTCCTGGGAAAAGGAGGGAAGGAAGGAGGGAGGGAGGGAAGGATGAATGGATGAGGTTCCGTATAACCTGCACGCCTACTGTGAAACCACACACCTCCCAGCTCTGTTCCCTCAGCCATATCCAGTCTCCCAGTGTGCTCACCAACAGTTTCTTTTTGGTACTGGAGATTGATCCTAGGGTCTCGCTGAGTCACCAAGTTGCCTGCCTGAGTTTAAACTTGCTATCCTCATGCCTCACCCTTCAGAATGCTGGGATGTCAGGCATGTACCACCACACTTCAGGTCATTCCAAAATCTCTGCTGTACCTGCGCCTCATTCTGAGAATTGTCCTGTCTTTTGACATCTATTAGCTCAGAGGATCTGCAGGCTCCAGCTAGAAGTTGGGCTGCAGCTGCTGTGTTGTCAAAAGCTGAAATGTTTCCTAGCCTCCTTGCTTGTGTCTCCTCTGTTTCCGTTTCCCTAGATATCACTATTAAAATAGGCCCTGAAATAGGCCTGGTGGCACATGCCTGTCATCCTGACACACTGGGAGGCTGAGGCGGGAGAATTGCAAGTTCTAGACCAGCCTGGGCAACTTAGCAACTTAATGAGACCCTGTCTCAAAAAATTAAAAGGGCTGTTCCTGGGGGAAGTTGAGGCTGGGGTGGGCTCTGGGGGTCCTGTCCCGTGCTGCCCAGCACAGAAGAGTCCAGCCCCCTTCCCCTCAGAAGCCTGGAAGCCCCTAGAGTCCCTGTGTCAAGGAGTGGGCAGGTCTCATGCTGGCACTGTGGGCATCTGGAGCGTCTCTCAGGTGGGCATTCTGGCCCCTGCAGGTGCTGAGCAGCCTCCAGGCCTCTGAGAACTCCAGGCCAGTGGCTCCCTGCATCCACAGCAGTGACATGCGTGCCTGCACAGCACTGCCGGCCTCCCCAGTGACCCAGGGAGAGGACAGACGGGAGCTGAGCTTGTGCTGGCCCAGGACCTGGCAGGGCAGACAGGGCTGGGAGGATCCAGGGTAGTGGCCCTTGGAAAGCTGGGCCGGAACCCAGGCCCTGTGCCTGACCCCAGACAGACCCCACCTGGAGGGACCTGTAGCACAGGGCCATCCCGGCACGCAGTGACCTCACCTGGCCTGGCTGAGTAGGGCGCCGGCTGCTCTGTACCTGAGAGCTCCTCAGTGGGCGGAGGGAGGCCCGGCAGCCCTCCCAGCATGGCAATGTGGCAGGGACCCTGGCGCACCTGTGCCTGGCTCAGTCTCCAGCTGGTGCATTTCCACTCGGCGGCCCAGCTCTATTGGCATTTGACCCCCTCAGTTGTGTGGACCCACGTACCTTGCCCCAGCCCTGTCACCTGATTCATCCCCCAGTGACATTCCATTGGGAACTTCCAGCCGTGCAGCCGAGGAGTGAGGACCTGGCTCAGCCCTGCTCTATCTGGTAGTGGGCTTTTGCTCGCTTGTTTTTGTGGCACTGGAGATTGAACCCAAGGGCCTTGGTGCTGTGCCACACCCCTAGCCCTTTAGATTGCTTTAAATTTTGAAACAGTTTGCTGAGTCACTGAGTTGTCCAGGCTGGGCTTGAACTCGAAATCCTCTTGCCTCAGCCTCCCAGAATGCTAGGATGACAGGTGTGTGACACTGTGCCTAGCTGTGGTAGTGGTTTTTAAACAGCCAACACGTTCATGTGACACAGAATTCAAAAAGTGAAAGTAACTGCCAAAAAATAAATAAATAAAAATTTTTTTTAAAGGGCTGGAGATGTGGTTCAGCACAAAGGCCTTGTACTCACTCTGTGGTGCTGTAAATAAATGAAATAAACTGGCTCTGAGCCTTACAGCTCAGCTCCATCATCATCAGTCCATGGTCACCACACAGGAGCCCTGTCAATGTGACGGTTAAAGTGAGGGGAGAGGAGACCGCTCTATTAGCACTGTTGCTCTCACACAAAAGCTGAGGCCAGCTACTTTATAAAGACAACGTTGGGCTGGGGATTTAGCTCAGTGGTTCCAGCACCTGCCTCATAAGCATAAGGTCCCGAGTTCGATCCCGGGTACCAAAGGACAGACGTTTACTTAGCCCACCGTTAGGGAGGCTGCAGATCCACACTCAGGACACCCCATCAGTTCAGTCTGGCCTGTGCTGAGGGTGGGGATGGAGCCATGTACAGAGGTCACGTGGGGAAACAGGAAGCCGGAGAGGTCGGGGCCAGGCCTGCTGTTTTATGACCACCCCCCGTGCCGCAGGAGTAAGTGGGGGGTCCTGTCTGAGAGTGGAGGCTCCCCTCAGCGCCTGGGACCCGGCTCTCAGCACAGGGACTGTGCGGGACAGACACGCAAGCCTTGCAGTGTGGACAGGATCCCGACTCCATAATGCTGATGGCATCAGGTGAGGGAGCCCTCGTGGCCCGGCCCTCTCCTCTGAACAGCACTGCACGGAGACTGCACTGGGACACAGGAGTCCCTGGGGGCCCTTCCTGGAGTTGGGTGTTTCCCTCTCCCCGCCTAGGGCAGCCTTCAGAAGGTCCTGTGTCCCCAAGGGCACAAGGAGTGGAGTTGGGAGGGGAGGAGGTCCCTGGGGAGGAAGTGATGTCTTCAAGCTTGGGGTCTTGTCCTGTGAGTTCTCCCTGTCACTTCTGGTCTCGCCACAGTGCCACCCACCTCATGGTGCGGCCACAGCAGAACCAGCACCATACTCTGAAGACTACTGACCCCCAGCACTGTCTGCTCAATAAACCTTTCTCTCCTCTCTCTCCCTCCCTCCTCATCACACTGGGGATTAAATCCAAGGAGCCCTGAGCTCTATCTCCAGCTCTTTTGAGACAGGATCTTTCTAAGTTCCCTAGGCTGGCCTCAAACTTGAGATCCCCTGCCTCAGCCTCCTGAATAGCAGGGATCACAGGCATGTTCCACCATGCCCAGTTATGAGCTGATTTCTGTGTCTTGTCTTTTTTTTTTTTTTTTTAAATTTCTGTGTCTTTTCTATCAGTTGGGTGCTGAGTGGGGTTTAGTTTGAACCCTGAGTCTCCTAAGTGATTCTGATGAATGTAGCACATGAAACCCTTGAACCCGGGTTCCCCACTACCCGGGGGGCTGGTCTCGGCACCCCCTTCTTCCTCTGTCTCAGGGTGATTGCACCAAGCTGAGGGACGCTCCGGTGCCATCCTAAGGAGGGCCCCGAGGCTCTGCCCTTCTCATGTGAAAGTGTGCGTGTGTTTCTCCAGGTGGGAGGAGAAGCCCACGGGTCTATCTCACCATGGCCCTCAGCACACAGCCAGGGCAGGGGTGGTGTGAATTCAGGACCCGCTGGGCAGTCTCAGGCATCCTGGGCACTGTGGGGTGCTGAGCAGTGCCCCTGGCTTCCGCCCTCTCCGTGCCAGCAGCGGCCCAGCTGGGACAACCACAGGTGTCCCCCAGCCTCCCGTAGGGTCCCTGGGAGCGGACAGCCCCGGGGGCTGAGGAGCCCACTCTAGGGAACCGATTTTATTATTCTTTTCTACTTGAAGGCGGAGCCCAGAGAGGAGCTTGTTCCTTTTAACTGCAGCCCTCTAGGAACGGGTCCCTTGACATCGTACAGGGGCACAGCCGGCCTGTATGAGGGGCAGAGCCGCAGGGGCCTTCCCTGGTCCCTAGAGACTCCGCGCATCCTTGTACAAGCTCTCGATCTCTGCTTGATATATCTTCACCACAGCCGCCCTCTTTCGTCTTGAGGTGACTCCTGGGTGATGGGAGGAGTCCTTAGCGGGCCACACAGGAGCTCGGAGCCCAAGTCCTCAGGGGCTGAGTCCATGTCAGGGGTCCAGAGGGACCAGGGTGGCTGGAGATTTGCCTAGGAACCAGCGGAAGGGAACTGGGGGCCATAGCCCATGCCAGAACACCCCAACAATTCCCACCTGCCACAGCGACCACTTCAGGCACAGCAGCCTTCACTGTATGAGATAGTGGACGAAAAGCATGGGTGCCTGGTGTGATGGCACTCGTGGTGACACTGGCCTGTCATCCTAGCACTCAGGAGGCTGAGGCAGGATTGCTGCAAGTTTGAGGCCAGGCTGGGCTACACAGCAAGAGCTCATCTCAAAAACAAAACAAAACGTACCGGTCACAGGAGTGAGGCCCCATCCCGGAGGTCAGGGTTTTAGACTCCTTTGACACTAGCATATAGGGGCCTCGTAGCCCAAAATCAGGGTGGAATCTGGGGGGATCGTGGTGGGCAGCACGTCTTCCAGGAGAGAGGAAAGAGCTAGGGTCTCGGCCCTGCGACCTGTGTGCAGTGGAACTGAATGTGTTTTGCTGAACAAGGACAGCCGGGCGACGCTGAGCAGGGAGCAATTGACTGACCAGGCCCCCTCGCCACTCACCAAGCTCCCCGCTGCTCACTGAGAAGTCCGTGTCCAGCAAGGCCCACTTGACGACCCTGGCGCTCTCTGAGGTTGCCTTGGCGTTCACGGCCTCCATGCCTTTGCTGATGAACTCGGCAATGATGGGGTCGTCATTGTGGGCAATGTCCATCAGCCTGGTGGCCTGGCTCCCCAGGCCCCAGCACAGCTCCACCGTCTCGCTGCTCAGCGCCATGCGGGGCTCCCCGGCCTCCCAGTTCACCTGGTACTGCGGAGGGCTCAGGGTCAGGGCAGCCGGTGCTGCCTCTGTCCCCACCCCAGCACCCTATGCAGGCTCCCAGAGCCCGCAGGCCCCTCAGGTGGGGACAATTCCCACCCCCAGTCGACCAGGTCACCCCTCCTCTCCGAGCCTCGGTTCCCTCCCATCCAACCCCCAGTGTCCAGGCCACGAGGCCCAAGGCAGCCCGCACACCTTCAGCGTGAGGAGGGCACACAGGTAGGGGGCGCCCTGGCCCATCACCATGACGTAGCGGACAGTGGGGATGTAGGTCTTCACCCGCTCCTCGATGGGGTTCAGGTTGATCATCTTCCCTGAACTCAGCGTGATGATGTCTGCATGCAGGAAGGGGATGTGTTGCTGCTTATGGGGGCCAGGGTGGGGCCGGGGTGGGGAACACTGTCGTAAAGGGGTCCCTTCCTCCTCGTTGGACTGGAGCCCTCACTTGGCCTTGTACTGTGTTCAACCTGCGCTGCTGTCCACAGCAGCCATGTGGGCCCCAGCCCTCTTTTGCTCACCCTTGATGTTGCCCCTGATGTAGAGAAAGTTGTCGACATCCAAGAAGCCCAGGTCCCCCGTGCGCAGCCAGCCGTAGCAGTCTGTCTTCTTCATGGTGCCCTTGTTGTTGCTGAGATACCCCATGAAGATGTTCCGGCCCCAGATGCTGATGCTCCCAATCCCTCCTCATCTTCCTCCTTCACCTTGGTGCAGATGTTGAGAAGCCCCTTCCCACAGCTGGGGGCAGGAGGGGGCCCTGAGACTCAGCCAGATGCTCTCCACCAGGGTAGGGACGCCCCCGCCCCAAGTTCCCGCAAAGCCGCTCGTGCCCTAAGTGTTCCTGGATTCCCCTCAGCTCCCACAGGACATGAACCCACAGGTGACAAGACAAGCGCCTGGCTGGGCTCAGGTCGGAGCCAAGCACAGGGCAGACATGGATGCAGCACACCTGGCCCTTGGCCACCTGGGCCCACACGCCAGCGTGGGCACAGGGTGACACTTTTTGGGGAAACAGACTGCTGTCAGGGGACAGAGCAGAGGGCACAGGGGCCTGGACTGTGTCCTGGGACCCCAGGACCCCACACACCAGCCCTGCTTTTTCCTGAGCTGTCTGGAGACAGGGATGGGGGGCCGAAAACTGGCCCCGCGTCAGCCATGGTGGCGCACGCCTGTCGTCCCAGCATTCTGGGAGACTGAGGCAGGGGGACTGCAGGTTTGAGCATGGTCTGGGCAACTCAGCAACTTAGCAAAACCGTGTCTCAAAAAATAAAAAAGGTGGGCCAGGGATTTAGCTCAGTGGTTTCGCCGCCTCCTGTGCAAGCGCAAGGACCCGAGTTCGATCCCTGGTACCAAAAAACTAAAATAAAATAAAAATAAAAAAGGCTGCGGATGGAGCTCACTGCGAAGGGTCTGGGTTCAATCCTCAGTACAGAAAACCTGACCCCGGCCAACACATAGGATGCAGGATGCTCTGGCCCAAATTAAAGATTCCTAAACCGGGTCTTTAATCCTTTGGGAGGGGATCAGGGGTCAGATGAGTCAGGAGGGTGAAGCCCCTGTGACAGGATTAGTGTCCTTATTACAGATCCCAGAGAGCCCTGGCTGTCTTTCTGTGGCAAATGAGGACTCAGTGAGAAGGCTGCCACTTGCAAGTCCAATGACAGAAATGACTGATTAGGACTAAGACCCTGAAGAGCTGTCAGGAGGCTACTGGAGGCAGCACAGGGCACGGTCCAGGCCAAACCACAGAGTGTCCCTGCAGGCCTGTATGAGCAGCCGAGGTCAGGGCCTCAACCCCGACACCCTGATGAACTAACGTGCAAGTTAGCCCCAACAGAGGACTGGCACATTAGGACTTCTGCCAGCCAGTGAGCTGCCTGGAAATCCCCACTCAAAACCTCTCCTTGCCAGGCAGAGCGGCCCATGCCTGACATACCTACCGGCCCTCTGGAGGCTGAAGCAGGAGGATCATGAGTTTGAGCCCAGCCTGGGCAACTAAATTACTTAGTGAGACCCTGTCTCAGAACAAGAAGGGCTGGGGGAGAAGCTCAGTGGTAGAGTGCTTGCCTCACTTGCATGAGCCCCTGGGGTTAAGTACAGTAACATACACCTGCAGATGGGAGACCACCTCTCCTCCACTGGCCTGACGAGACGCGGAAGGTATGAATGGTGCCTGCCAAATCCACAGCCTTGTGTAGCCCCTGCCCTGCCCCGAACAAGGCTGACCTTCGTGATTCATCAGGTGTGGCAAATGACCAAGTGTCACTTCTGACATGATATCCTTTTCTTTTTTTTAAGAGTAGGAAAATGGATTGGGGAATAGGAGTGGGAAATAAGAATAGCTCCTGGGAGACCGGAGGGGTCCTGGATGGGTTGCCAACAAGCACACTTCTGAAAAGAAGTTTTATAGGGCAAAGTCACGAGGGATGGGTACAATGTGGGTCAAAACTATAATCAACCAATAAGATTGCAAGGATAGTCGCTTAGGTAATATTGACTCCATAGTAACAGGTCCATGGATGACATCATTGACCTTGGCCGATAATCTGTAGTCTTAGCCTTAGTGCTCTTAGTGGGTGATGACATTGTATCCTAACTTAGGCATCAGATCAAATAAGGCCCCTAGTTAAATGAAAATGTTAGGCTGGGCATAGTGGCACAGGCCTGTCATGCCAGTACTCTGGGAGGCTGAGGCAGGAGGGTTGCAAGTTTGAGCCCAGCCTGGGCAAGTTAGAGACTTAGCAAGACCTTGTCTCTTAAAAAAAAAAAAAATATTGAGGGCTGGGGATTTAGCTCAGTGGTTTTGCCCCCTGCTGGGCAAGTGCAAGGAAGGATCCAAGTTCGATCCCTGGTACCAAAAATATATATATATTGAAGGGCTGGGGATTTAGCTCAGTGGTTCCTGCAAGCACAAGGTCCCAAGTTCGATCCCTGGTACCAGAAAAAAAAATTTGAAAAGGGCTAGGGATGTAGCTCGGTGTGAAGGCCCTGGGTTCCATCCCTAGTACCATTAAAAAAAAAAAAAAGGGCCGGGAATTTAGCTCAGTGGTTTCACCACCTGCTGTGCAAGCGCAAGGACCCGAGTTTGATCCCCGTTACCAAAAAAAAAAAAGCAAAATGTTTGTTACCTTACACTCTTAGTGGCAGATCCTTTGCACACAGCAGCAGATAAAGTTATGGGGTGGGTTTTTTTGTTTGTTTTTTTGGAGTTTTTTTTGTTTTTGTTTCTGTTTTTGAGGCAGGGTCTCACTATGTAGTCCAGACTGGCCTCAAACTCACAGTGATCCTCCTGCCTCAGCCTCCAGAGTGTTGAGGTTACCGCCTTGGGCCTCCATGCCCAGCTAGCAGCAGATAAATCAATACAGTGGTTCTCACAAGAAAAACCACGGTGTCCAAATAATTGTCCTTCCGTCAAAATCCTTTTGCAAATCCAAACACTGATCCAAAAGGGCTTCTGGTTGTTCCCACAGAGGTTCCCTGTCACGCGCTCTGGGCCCTTTGCCCCTGGGGAACAGCCAGGCGGGGTGATGGTTGCACCCAGGTGAGGACGGAGGGTCCCTGATGGCTGGCCCCGCCCTGCTGTCCCTCCCACCCTGGGCCCTGCCCACCTCAGCAGCCGGAAGTCCTGGCGGGTGGCGAGCGTGTGGACGCCTGTGCACTCGGACAGCCCGTAGAGCTCGTACATAGGGACGTCGAGGCTGAGGAAGATGTCCAGCGTGGCCCTGGGCAGCCCTGCGCCCATGCTGAAGAACTGTTTGCAGCGGCCCAGGCCCAGCAGCTTGCGAGCGCGGCTGAAGGTCAGCTTCTTGGCCAGGCGGAAGCTCAGCGAAGAATGCAGGTCCCTTGCGAAACAGAACGCAAAGGCCCAGCATGGCCACGTGGCCTGGGGACTCCCCGCCACGCCGCCCAGTCCCCCGGCCCGGCCTCACCCGAACATGCGCTTCTTGTTGGTGTTCAGCCCCACGTCCATGGCCCAGGCGTCCACGCGCCTGCACAGTGCCGTGGCCGCCAGCTGCCTGGTCCTGAGCCCATCCATCACCCTGTCCCACATCCACGGGGTGCCTGCGAACGTGGTGGGCTGCACCTCCCGCAGCAGGTCCGTCAGGTAACCCTGCAGGCCAGACAGTGGGACGCAGGGTCGGGGTATGGTGACCAGCGGGGCTGCACGGGGTCCCCCGCCACCCGGAGAGATGCAGGGCGGGCAGCCACACTACATGGCCAGCTCAGCTCAGGGGTCCGTGCCCAGCCTGTCCCACAGCTCCGGGGGGCAGGAGAGAAGGGGAGGTGAAGGCATGGGGGACAGAGGGGGACAGAGGGGAAGAGAGAGATGAAGAGAAACAGTGGAGAGAGGGGAAGAGGAAGAACGAGACAGAAAGAGACAAAAAGAAGCAGAGAAAAGGGGAAAGGGGGAGAAAGGAGGGGAGGGAAAAAGAGGGAGGAAGAACACAGTGAGACAGAGGGAGAGAAGGACACAGAGACAAAGCCACACAAAGCACAAAGTGAGAGACAGGGAAGGAAGTGGGTGGAATCAAGTCTGGTTGTGTCGCTGTTACCAGAAGGGATCCCGCAACGATCCCAACCAAAATACCAGTAAGCAAGGACAGAGAGCAGGCTGTGCTTGGAGCTCCCCCAACGGCCTGTGCTCCTCAAGCTCTCGGCTGTGAGGGGCTTGTGCACAGGCTCTTTACAAACTAAGGCTCCATGTGTAAGGAGATGGAAGTGCTAACTGCCCTGACTTCTCACTGAGCATTGTACATGTGTATCAGACGCACTCTGTATTCCGTAAATGTGTTCTATGTCAATTAAAAAGAAAAAATTTGAATTAGATGCCAAAAAAATCAACGGTGGTGGGCACAAACCTATAATCCTAGTACTTGGGAGGCTAAGGCAGGAGGATCACTGTGAATTTGAGGTCAACGGAGGCCATATAGTGCAGCTCTGGTGAGTGCTTGCCTAGCATGTGCAAAGGCCCTGGGTTCGTCCCCAGCACCAAAAAAAGAATACTGTTTCATGCCACATGAAAATGATGTGAATTTCTAACACATTCATGTCTGTAAAATTTTGGCTTTTTAAAAATTTTGTGGCACTGCAGAGGGAACCCAGGCCCTCACCCAAGCCAGACAAGTGCTCACCTCCAAGATGCACCCCAGCCCCATGGCCTTTTTTATTTTTTTCAATGAGACCTTTGCGGAAGTTCTTCTCTTCCTAATGCCTATACAACTCGGGAAGCCCGAGTTCTCTACTACCTGGCCTCTGGAATGACGGGCTGTTAAATGATCAGAAGCAGGGCCAGGGATTTAGCTCAGTGGTTCCGCTGCTTGCCTCGAAAGTGGAAGGACCCGAGTTCGATCCCCAGTACCAAAAAAAAAAAAAAAATCAGAAGCAAGCACTCACTGTGACTATTCCTGCTCAACAGGCAGCTCGTGACTTTCTACATTCAGAGTGATCCCTGTGTGTGACTGTGGTTTTACCATGTAGGTTGTTGTCCTGGGTGCTAATTTTTTGGTAGTAAACTCAAGCAACAAAAAAATTCATCGTGTTAAATTGCTTTGCTGCTGATGTTTTGATTTTTTTTTTTTGGTACTGGGGATCGAACTCGGGACCTTGCGCTTGTCAGGCAGGCCCCGGAAGCACTGAGCTAAATCCCCAGCCCCTGCTGTTGTTGTTTTGAGACAGGGTCTTGTTATGTGGCCCAGGGTGGTGTTGAATTCCTGGGCTCAATGATCCTCCTGCTTCAGCCTCCCCAGTAGCTGGGACTGTAGACATGCATCACCCCACCTGGTTAACCTTAACCATTTCCAGCTGTACAGTTCAGCAGCATCGAGTGCATCCCTCGGCTGTGCCGGCCCCGCCGCCCACCTCCAGGACTTTCCACCTCCCCAGCTGAGCTCTGTCCCAGGAAGCGCTGACCGCCCCCCGCCCCCAGCCTGGCACCGTCCTCCTTCCTGTCCCTGTGGATCTGACCACACTGGGCCTCCTGGGGGTGGGGCCCTGCGCTGCGTGTCCTCCTGTGTCTGCCGCAGCTCCCTGAGCAGCGCAGCCTCAAAGTCCATCCAGGCTGTAGCAGTGCCAGGGCTTTATTTGTTTTTTTCTTTTCAATTTCTTTCTTTCTTTTTTTTTAGTACTACAGGTGGAACCCCAGGGTCTTCACATTGAACTCCATCCCAGCCCTTTTTGTATTTTTTTATTTTGAGACAGCATCTCTCTCACTTGCTAAATTGCCCAGGCAGAGCTGGAATTTACGATCCTCCTGCCTCAGCTTCCCAGAGTGCTGGGATGGTAGATAAGTGCCACAGCCAGCTAATTCCTTCCTCTGAAGGCTGAGAGCTGTGCCAGTGTGTGGACCACACTGTGGTACCTGCACAGCTTTCCACAGATGCCTGACTCGTGTCCAGTCTGCTTTTAATGGCTCCATTTAGCTTCCCTGCATTTGCCGTTTCCCCTTGTTGGGGTTTGGATACAGACGTTCCCTCAAGGCCTCGTGTGCTCAGAGGTGGCGCATGTAGAAGGTGACTGCACTAGAGGGCGCCACTGCTGACCTGCTGTCAGGGTTACTGGGACTGTTTGAGGAAAGGCACTGTCTCCCCAGCACCACGCTTCCGTCTCTGCTTCCTGACAGCCATGGTGTGAGCAGCTTTTCCTCCGACAGGCCCCTCTGCCTTCCTGTTTCTGCCTTGGAGCCAGCCAACCATGGACTCTAACTGTACCAGCATAAAGCTTTCCTCACCGGATGTGGTGGCTCACACCTGCAACCCCAGCACTTGGGAGGCTGAGGCAGGAGGATCACCAGGATCAAGACCAGCCTGAGCTACATAGTGAGTTCAAGGCCACACCCTGTCTCAAAATAAATAAATAAATGAATAATAAAATTTAAAAACTATCAATCAATCAATAAACATCTCTTCCTTAAATCGTGGGTGTCAGGTATTTCAGCAATGAGAAAAGTCAGCCCCTAGTGGTGATGGGGGGCACTGCATGCCGTCCCAGGGTAACAGTTCACATCTGTTTCACCTGCTTTGCCTCACAGATGGGGAAACTGAGGCCCAGACAGGAACGAAAGGAGACTGCACAGCCAGTGGAGTGCAGGGTGGGGATTCCTGTTGTGGAGTAAGCACCGGCTCTGGCGGTACTCACAGCGCCAGGCGGGTGCGGGGCCTCACCCAGGCTCTTGGCCTCCTGGGGGGAGAAGTAGAATGCAGCCCCCACGGCGATGGCCAGCCACATGTGGAAGATCTGAGCGCAGATGTAGCTGAGCGGCAGGTAGCTCACCAGCACCTCCTGCCTGGCGGGGGGACACTTGTAGCACAGGCTCTGCACGGTGGCTGCCGTGGTCCAGGTGATCTGCAGGGACCCAGTGGTCAGCTGCAGCCTCTGCACCGCCAGCTGGGGACAGAGCAGGGCCAGTCACCCCCGACCCGGTGGGACGTTCACATTGTCGTGGCTGAGCATTATGACTTTGGGGGGACCTGTGGCCCCCAGGCTGTTGACCAAGGTGCAGCACTGATTGGGCTTCTGGGAGTCGATGACGTGGTCCAGTGTCTCATCTGAGATGTCACTGCCAAGATCCAGGAAACTTTGCCACTGCCGAGAGGCCAGGAGTGGGCCTGGGGACAGAGCTGAACTGGAAGCCCCCGGGTCCCAGTGGCCTTGGCTCCGGCCGGGGGCCCAGCGGGGCTGCACATACCAAGTACTGCACGATCACCTTGAGGTGCTTCAGGGAGCCCTGGATCCGGAGGACACGAGGCGCTCAACGTGGACTGCGGGGAACCGGGCCGAGGTGGCGAGGGGACCCTAATCCTTTTTGTTTGTTTTCAGTGCTGGGAATGGAGCCCAGGACTTTGCGTGTCCTGAGCAAGTGCTCACCACCGAGCTACACCCCAGGCTCTTTATAAATTTTATCTGGAGATTGGGCCTCAATGAGTTGCCCGAGCTGGGTTCAGACTTGCAATGCCCCTGCCCGAAGCCTTCTACCCAGTGTCGTTTCTTCCCCCGTCTTGCTAAGTCACTAAGGTGTGCAGGCTGGGCTTGAACTTGGGACCTTCTTGCTTCAGCCTTCCAGACCACAGGGATTACAGATGGGCACCACCACAAGGTTCTTCCTAATGGGGTAAAACACACAATTGAACCATGTTTGACCATTTTGAAGGGTTTTTTGGTTTGTTTTTGAGACAAGGTCTCACTATGGAGCCCAGGCTGGCCTCAAACTCTCAGTGATCCTCCTGCCTCAGCCTCCTGAGTACTAGGATGACAGGTGTGCAGCACCACGCTCAGCTCTTCTTTTCTCTGTGAGGTGTGGTCCCTGCCTTGGCTGTGCTGTGCCCTCTTGTCTCCTCGGCCTGAGTGTCTCTCACCTGGACGATCTTCTGAAGCTGTTTATCAGTGTCCACCACCAACACGTTTATCTCAGAGTTCTTGGCAATGATCTGGCAGGCTTTCGGGGTGGCAGTGGACAAGATGCCGACAGAGAAGCCTCTGAAAGCAGAATCCAGGAGCTCAAGGCCTGCAGCGAGTGCTTCTGGAAACTGACAGGCTCAGGAGTCCCCAACAACCGGACACCCACAGTGTGCCCTGTTTGAAGGTGGGGCTCAGGGACATCTGGGGTCTGGGTCCTGCCCAGAAGGCTTCCCCCATGATCTGGACAGGTGGAGGGAGTGCTCAGTGCTGGGGAATCTTGAGGACCGGAAGGGCCTTCTGGAGAAGAGGGTAAGGGGGCTGGGCTTCACTAGATGTATAGGAGTTCACTGGGGGAACCAATGTCTAGGGAGAAGGGTGAACTGAGTGTTCTCAGGCCTGGGCTAGGGATGAATCCCACTGAGAAGACTAAACTGGATTGGGCTCAGCGCCTGCCCTGGGGACTCAGCAATGAGACTCCAACTATCTCCAAAAGGGCCAGGCTGGAGGCATCCTGCCTTGGCATGCTTTGGGGAGACAGACTCTCCTTACCCTGCCATGATGGCCCCGATGTTGGCGATCACTCACTCCTCTGAGTTGAGTCCCAGGATGCCCATGGCGTGAAAGCGCTCCAGGCCCAGCTGCCAGAGGGACACCCTTATGAGGGACAGAGGGACTTGGCCACCACCGCCCCATCCTGCCTTCAGCTGGGGTGAGAACCCTGGCTTCCCTCTGGTCTGTGGTATATTAAAATTTTTTTTTCATTTTTATTAGATAAAATCTTGGGCTGGGCACGGTGTCACAATCCTGTAATCCCAGCACTTGGGAGGCTGAGGCAGGAGGATCACTGCAAGTTCCAAGCCAGCCTGGGCTCCATAGCGAGACCCTGTCTCAAAAAGCATCCCGGGAACTCCAGTTCGTTCCCACACGTGTTTGTGTGACCCTGACCATCCAGGATGGTGCACATCTAGCCCCCACTTGCTTGTCGCTGGCAGAAGTGATCTGAATTCAGGGGCCATCTCTCCCTTCCACTCTGTACTGTCATATACAACTACCCACCTGCTGTTTGCTCACCCAACAGGTGTCTCAGCCCCAACAGACCCCGATGAAGCTGCTTACGTCACTCCCCTCCAACCCCCAAGTCAGCTCCCTCCACTACAGTTGTTCCCGTCAGTCCATGGCCCTCCACCCTTCGAGTCTGCACGACTCCACCTGCTCCACCCCAGTGCCCCACCTCGTCTCCACAGCCGCAGCACCGCATCAGATCCTCCCCCTCTGCCCTCAGCCCCCCACGGCTCCCAGCTCCCTGGGCCAAAGCCCAGGTCCTCCCTGCAGCCCACAGAACTCTGGCCTGCCCGTCTCCCCCCTGCCTCCCCTTCTCCCTCTCTGCCCCTCGCTTCCACTGCTCCAGCCACACGGGCTGCCCCGCCACACACTTTATTTTCCTCCGGGTTACATTACTGTCTCAAAGATCTTACATGTTTATTGTTATTGTTGAGAAAAGGACCCACTATGTAGCCCAGGCTGGCCTTGAACTCTTGGTGATCCTCCTGCCTCAGCCTCCTGAGTGCTGGCATGACAGGTTTATTTATTTTGACTGGGCAAGTCATCTGAGGTCTCTTATTCCCTATACTAATCTGAAAAATGGGCATTCATTCAGTTCACAAACACCAGAGCAGGAGCTGTAGTAGAATAAGGCAGGCCCAGCTTCCTGCCCTCCTGGAGCTGACCGCCTAGACAGTGAACATGCTCCCAGGTAGCAGTGAAGGCTGGGCGAAGTTTTTTATTTCGCAGTGGTAGGGACTGAACCCAGGGCCTTGAATATGCTAGGCAAGTGCTGTGCCACTGAGCCACACCGCCAGCCCCTGGGTGGAGGAGGGTCAAGGAGCTGTGACAGGAGGAGAAAAGAGGGGTGTGGGTTCTGAGCACCTCACTATGGATGTGCCATCAGAAAAGAAAAAGAGGCCATCACCGTGTAAGAATGACACCAAGCTGGGCATGGAGGTGCACACCAGTCATCCCAGCACTCAGGAGGCTGAGGCAGGAGGATTGCTGTGAGTTTGAGGCCAGCCTGGGCTACATAGCAAGGCTCTGTCTCAAATGACCAAATTGCAGAGCTGTCTGACTGGGTCAACCACCGAGTCCTTGCTGCAAATCTGCAAGCTAAGTGGTCTTAAATATGAATAATTTGTTGATAGCACTTATATTTATTTGCAAATAATATGTTTTTGTCAATATAATTTATTTATCTATTTGTTATTTAACTTATACATAACATGTTATACTAAATGTATTATGCAAGTATCAAAAGCCAGGGATTTAGCTCAGTGGTTCTGCTGCCTGCCTCGCATGCACAAGGTCCTGAGTTTGATCCCAGATACCAAAAAAAACAACCCAGAAAAGTATCAAATGTATGAGATTAATATGTAAACAGCAGATACATTTCAGATACGTTTTAAACATTGTACATTTACAGATATGTATCATAGTAACAATTTATTTTATATATGTATCATGTAAAGCATGTGTTTTATACATTATACTTATTTTATATGCAAAACTCTCTTACATATGGGGAAACTGAGCAGCAGAGAGGCAAAGTAATTTGTACAAGAACCCGTGGCTTACAGCAGGGCTGGGATTCAAACCCATGAACACACAAGTTCCACCTCTAAATCTGGTTCTCAGGAATCGTGAAGAACAGATAGGATACGCAGCGCCGTAAGAAGGCAGTGCTACACAGGAGTTTAAACGGGAGGGAGGGCCAGGAAGCGGGGAGTACGCGCAGGCGCACAAAGATGAGCACGGCACCGGAGCGGGAAGGGGGGGGGTGGACACTGAAAACGAGACCCACGCAGGCGCAGGAGAGGACAGCCACAGAAGTGCGCAGGCGCAGGAGGTGAGCGGGAAAGAACCCCGAAAGGCGCGCAGGCGCAGGAGCGTCCCCGGAGAGGCGCAGGCGCAGGCCGCTCGAGCGGTACCTTGAGGAAGCCCTTGGCAGCGCGGCGACACAGTTCATAGTACTCGCCGTAGGTGAGCAGGTGCCAGTGGTTCCTGCGCTTGGTGCCGAGCGCGATGTAGTTGGCGTACTTTACGGCCAAGTGCATGACCATGTCGTGCACGGTGAGCGGCGTCTCCTGGTCACTCGAGTTCCTGCCCAGCCATAGCCTCACCTCGCCGGCTCGCTCTGTGGTCCAGTAGCTGCCGGGGTGGGGGTGGGGATCAGCGCCTACCGGGACCCATGGTGGGGGGGGACTGGAACGAGACAGGGACGGGGAGAGGGGCACAGAGGGGTGGCCCTGGTGGGGACAGGGAGAGACCTGGGGTCGGAGAGCGAGAGGAAGCAGGTGACAAAGGGGGAAGATGGAGACGCGCAGGGAAGTGCAGAGAACAGGGACAGGTGACAGACGCGTTGCCCTGGGAGAGGCGATCAGGAGTCACCTCCAGCAAGCAGAGTTCAGGCACGGAACCGCAGGGCCCAGACGCCTCTGGCAACGCTGCTCACCTGCAACCCATGTCCCCAGATCCCGGCCACGCAGAGGGACACGTTCCCTCCCGTCTGCCCTCTCCCGGACGACCTGCCCTGAAGGGACAGTGGTACCTCAAGGGTTCCAGCAATGGCTGAGCCCACTCTGCCCCAGTCTCGAGGGTTCTCCCACCCAGGGACCCAGGGATGCCCGACCTCTGGTTCTCTGAGTGCAGAACGCTGCCTTTTGATGAGCTCTGACTCCCATCCGAGGGCATGTTATCCATAGTGCCTTTGCTTCCTGTCTCACCGCCACAGGGACATCCAGTTTGCAGGTGACAGATAGTCACCCTAATAGCGGTCCAGCATGTGAAGAGTAGGAGGTGACTGGCCAGGAGGAGGAGGATTCCCACCTAGTCATGGGGTGGTTAGGGAAGGCTTGGACGGGAGGCAGGAGCCTGTTGGGAGAGGGAGTAAGGTGATAAAGGTCACTGGGGCTGGGCTGGAAGGACAGGGGGAGCATAGAAGGGAATGGGGTAAAGTGGAGGATAGTGTTGTTTTCTAGCCCCTTCTATGCCCATCTCCCACCCAGCATGCTGCCTGGTTCCCGCCTAGAGGAGCTGGAACATATACAGCCTCCAGGCCCTGCTTCCCACCCACAGCACATTGGCACCCCTCTCTGTCATTGGCTCCAGTTTCTTTCCAGCCATGTCATAAGCAGTCTCCAGGCTGGACATCCAGAACGTTCCTGTCTACAGCCAGCCCTTGTGACTTCACCAGCTTCTGTGGTGGCAGACAGCTTGCTGTCCCTTTTCAGGGGCTGGTCCAGGGGCAGGGACGGGTCCACCAAGAAGACCCCCGCCACCCCCATGAGCCAGCGATCTCCAAGATGATGGTCCCCAGGGAGGAGCTGGAGGGACTCCAGAGTCGGTGTCCTAGTGGCAGAGTTGGTAAAGAAAGAGCCTGAAGACGAGGGGAGGCAAGGAAGCAGGGCCTTGCCCCCCTGCCAGGTCTGTGAGACTAGGACCTTCAAGTCTGTGAATTCATACCCCCACCAGGTGTGCCCCATCTATAGAATAAACCATCTCCCACATGCGTGCACCACTATGGTTTTCACATATCTTTGGATGCTGAGACTGGCAGGTCATCTAAAAGCCTTTCTGGGTCTTAAAAAAAAAAAGAATGGTCCTCTGGGCCTGGTGGCACATGGCTGTCATCCCAGAACTTGGGAGGCTGAGGCAGGAGGATCACCCCTAGTTTGAGGCCTGCTTGGGCTACAGTGAGTTCGAGCCTAGTCTGGACTACATAGTGAGACCTTCCTGAAAAAAACAGAAACAGAACTATAGCAAGACTGGCCCCTCCCTTCCCTCTGGCTTCCTATCCTCCTGATGTGATCATGTGATCTCCCCCTCTGTTTCTCTATGTCTGTTGAGATGGTGCCATTGTGATCCCAACCACCATGAGGTCTTCATCAGAGCCATGCCCTTGAACCTCCAAAATTCTGAGCTAAATAATTTAACCTCTTTGGGGGCGTAGGGTGGTGCATGCCTGTAATCCTAGCAGTTGGGAGGCAAGAGGATCCCCCGGTTCAAGGCCAGCCTGAACTACATAGTGAGACCATGTCACAACAAAGAAATCCCCCAAATTTAACCTTATTTGTAGAGTACTCATCCTCAGGTATTTTGTTATAGCTATGGAAGACAGACTAGTGCACTTAGCTGTAATTTTATTTTGCCCTGATTTGAACTATCATTTACAAACTAGTTATAAAGGAAGAGTAAAAGAATGCTCAATGAATTCGTACAGCTGTGTGGCCATCTCCACAGTCTGATGTTAGAACAGTCTTATTTCCTTGAAAGTTCCCTTGGACCTCTGTGAGGTCAAGCTGAGTTCCAGCCAGCCACCCGTCTGCTTTCTATATTTCTAGTTCTGCCTTTACTAGAAATTTCTGGTAAATAAATGGAATCACAGAATATTGTTAGATGCAGTGGCACACAGCTGCAATCCCAGCACTCAAGAGGCTGAGGAAGGAGAATCACCATGAGTTCAAGACCAGCTTGGGCTACATAGTGAGTTCAAAGGCCAGTCTGAACTACACAGTGACACCCTGTGTCAAACAACCAAAAATCAAAAGAGAAGATGAGGTTTTTGTGTCTCAATTCATTAACTGACCAAAAATTTACCTGCACATGTCCATAATTCATTTCTTTTTATTGTGAGAGAACACTCCACTGTGTGGATATACCACATTTTGTTGATATGTTCATCCTTTTTTATGGACAGCTAAGTTAGGCAGAAATATTACAGGCAATCAGATGGGCAGGCCCTTGAGGGAGTCAGTGAGTCAGTGCAGAAAGTAACACACTGGGACTAAAGATTAAGGTCATAATGGCCAGGGCCAGGGATTTAGCTCAGTGGTTTCGCCGCCTGCTATGCAAGCACAAGGACCCGAGTTTGATATTCAGTACCAAAAAAAAAAAAAGTCACAATGGCCAGATTTACATACTTGAGATTATAAGCTTGAAATTATCAGTTCCACTCTTTTGAGATTTCCTGAATAAATAAAGTATTATCTCCTTAGGGGTGGGCCATCATCTCCCACCAGACTAAAGGCAAAACTAAGACTATAGCTTTTCCAAGGTTAATGTCATCCATGTGCCCTTTCTACTACTGGATCAGTGTTAGCCAAGCAGCTATACCTGTAATCTTACTGTTTGATAATAGTTTTGAGCCACATTGTACTCACCTCTTGATTTTGCCCTATAAAACTTTCTCAGAGAAGTGTGCTCATTGGGACTCATTTGGGACCCCTCCTGTCTCTCAGGCCCTATTCCTATTCCCATTCCTATTCCCTGGTAAATTTTCCTATTTTAACCTCTGTTGTTCCTTAGAATTTATTCTTTGACTTCAGGGAACACAAACTCAGCATATCTGACATCTAGCAGGTTGGGAGTTACATATTTTTCCCCTATATCACTTTGACATATATTTGGATTTTCTCCCACCACTTGGTAATTGTGACTAATACTGATGTGAACATTCTTGTACAAGGGTTTTTGTTTTTGTCGTTTTTTGGGTTTTTTTGGTACTGGGGATTGAACTTGGGACCTTGTGCTTTTGAGGCAGGTGGCAGAACCACTGAGCTAAATCCCCAGCCCTGTTTTGTTTGATAGGTATGTTTTCTGTTGGGTTTATATGTAGGAACTAAATTGCTGGGCTGCAGTACCTCCGTGCTGAACATGTTAAACTCCCACCTCATTTTCCAAAGTGGCTGTGCCATTTCACATTCCCACCAGTGATGTATGAGTGCCCTATGTCCTACCTTGGTATTACCGGATGTCAAAAATGTTAGCATTCTGTGAATATAAAGTGCTACCTCATTGTGGTTTTGATTTGCATCTCCCTCGATGGTGATGGCTGGTGATGTTGAGCTTCCTTTCACGTGCTTATCAGCCATTTGTGTATCTTTATGAAAACATGCATTCAAATCCTTTGTCCTTTCAAAAAAAAAAAAATAGGGTCTTGGACCAGGGATTTAGCTCAGTGGTTCCGCTGCCTGCCTTGCAAGCCAAGGACCTGAGTTCGATCCCCGGCACCAAAAAAAAAAGGGTCTCACTGTGTAGGTCAGGCTGGCCTTGAACTCACAGCAATACTCTTGGTTCAGCCTCCTGAGTGCTGAGATTTCAGGCATGCAATACTATGCCCAGCTTCTTTGGTCCATTTAAAAAAAAAATTTGGACAAGGTCTCCCTATGTAGTTCAGGCTGGCCTTGAGCCCAGAGCAATCCTGCCTCAGCCTCCCAAGAGCTGGGATTATTTGACCTTTTATCCATTTTTAAATTGGGTTATTTGTCGTGTGTATGTGGTATGGAGGGTGGAATCCAGGGCCTTTGCACTGAGCTACATCCTCAGTCCTTTTTGTTTTTTAAGATAGGGTCTAAGTTGCTAAATTGCTCAGGTTGGGCTTGAATTTGTGGTGCTCCTGCCTCAGCCTCCCAGAGTCCTGGGATTATGGGCATGTGTCACAACTAGCTAGCTCTTTTAAAATTATAATGGTAATGTTATGCTCAAATGATTTTCAGGTATAGTTTGTAAATTACTTCTCCCTTTTACTCTTTTCCTTCCTTAAAGCATAGGTAGTTCTTGGTTCATGCTACTTTTTGGAAGTATCTATACTGCAAACTCTAGAAACCAAAACAAGTTGAATTTAAGGACCTATCTGGACACAGTTAATAGACTGAACTAAAAGTATCACACAATTATATTGAGTAGAGCACTTTTTATGTTCTTGACATCAGAGAAAATTTTGATATCTTTACAATGTTTTCCAGTTATTTTCTTTTTTTTCTAGTTATATTCATTTATCTTTTTATTATTGGGTTGTAAGAGTTCCTTGTACATTCTGGCTGTAGTTTTTTTTTTTAAAGCAGATACAGGATTCTTTGTTTTGTTTTGTTTTTTGGTACCGGGGATCGAACTTGGGACCTTGTGCTTTTGAGCCAGGCGGCAGAACCACTGAGCTAAATCCCCAGCCCAGGTAAAGGATTCTTGAACATTCTTTTCTTTTGTCTTTGGAGGTGTTAAGAGACAGAGCCTAGGGCAAGGGATTTAGCTCTGTGGTACCATGCTTGCCTCACAAGTGCAAGGTTCTACGTTTGATTCCTGGTACCAAAAGAAAAAATGAACCAGAGCCTAGTGGGAGAAAGTTAGATCATTGAGGGTGTGGTCTTGAAGAGGTATGGAACCCTGGCTCCTGCACTTCCTCTCTCTTTGCTTCCTATCCGCCTAAGGTGAAAAGCTGAGCTTCACCATGTGCTCCCCACCATGATGCACTGTCTCACCACAGGCCCAAAAGCAACAGGGCTCACTGGCCGTGGACTGAAACCTCCAAGACTATAAGCCAAAATGAACTTTTTGTCTTTAATTCTATTTCAGGTTTCTTTTGTTTGTTTGGGTTTTTTTTGGTATTGGGGATTGAACTCAGGACCTTGTGCTTGCGAGGCAGGCACGGGCGCCACTGAGCCAAATCTCTGGCCCCTCTCGTATTTTTTATAGAACAGAAAGTTGACTAATATACTATATCAGCTCTGATCATCTTATAAGCTCTTGGGTAAGAGAGAAATAAACATCTATTCTAAGTAGCTGTTATTCTGGACTTTATTACAATAGTAAAATTGCCTTGCAAGTGCAAGGACCTGAGTTCAATCCTTGGTACAAAAAAAAAAAGTAGGGAATTAGTCAAGAGACACACCTGCTAAACAGTTCTGATGGCAACAATACTGACAGCTGTTAGGAATAAGTCACTGCAATCCCTGTACATTATCTCCTGGTCACCCCGTGAGATTTCCAGGTTCAAAACTTCCCAGCCTCATAAGTTTGAGCTCACACACAGGTGGCTGGAATTTGAATCCCTACCCAATTTCAAAACCCTAGCCTTTCCCATCAAACCACACAGGACAGTGTCTGTGTCTGGCTAAAAATGAATGGATAAAGAGAGTGCGGTGTTTACACACCATGGAGTACTAATCTGTCATAAAGAAGGGTAAGCTTCAGTCATAGGAAAATGGGTGCACCCTGAGAAATAAATCAGACACACAAGCTCAAATATCATATAGAGAAACCCAAATTATAAAGAGCAAAAGAAAACTTGGATAATAGGAAATAGGGAGACCTTTCTCAAACGGGAAGGAGATCAAGAGAGGGAGGGAGGAGCCAGGGATTTAGCTCTGTGGTCTCACCACCTGCCTTGAAAGCGCAAGGTCCCGAGTTCAATCCCCAGTACCAAAAAGAAAAAAATGGAGGGAGGGGGAAAGGGGATGAGAAAAGGAATTAAGATGTGTTCTGTGCATGTACCAACTCCCCACAAGGAGTGTAAACATTATGTACTGCACATGTGTGCTAATTAAAATGAAGACAGGAGAGAGACACTGAAGTGCCTTATTGTCAGAACTTACTGGAAGGCTTCCCAAGTTGTGTCCAGGCAGGCAAGTAAGTTTGGGGATCCAGTTCTTCAATCTTGTGAGGGTTGTTTCTTTCTAATGTCTCAAGTCCTCTGTGGAGGAAAAAAAAAATCCAACTGGAGTCCACAACTGTCTAAAACAGGCATTTGTCTGCAGACCTCCCAGTAGGCTTCCTGGATGGGGACCATGGCCCAAGGGTTCATAGAAAGCTCGGTGGTGATCTTACTGCTCTTAAAAGTATGGCAGGGTTGACTAGGGGCATCTCTTCAGTAGGTGACCAACAAAGAAACTGACAGATGGAGAGTCAGATCCAGCTTCTCACTAGCAGGAGGATGACTCCCACCTGCTACACTGGGGTTTTCCTGTTGGAGACTGGAGAAACATAAGTCATCACATGGGGATCCCGGCAGTAACAGGCATTCATTCCCCCCAAATCCCACAGTTACCATACAGAGAAAATACTCCTGAGGGAACTGGTCATTCATAAACTGTCACCCCAAGTTCCCTCCACAGTGAACATCAGTTTGGCGCCATCTGAGAGAAATCATGTGAGCCATTCATGCAATTTAAAATGTTTTCAGAGCCACATTTTTAGAAAGGGACTGATAAAATTGATTTAAATGTATTTTATGCAATACAGTATGCCCAAAATATAACTGCAGTGTCATCAAGATTTTAAAATATTTGTGAGAGGGCCAGGGATTTAGCTTAGTGGTTCCACTGCCTGCCTTGCAAGCACAAGGTCCCGAGTTCAATCCCCAGTACCAAACAACAACAACAAAACAAAAAATATTAGATATTCTATATGTTTTTCATAACTGAGCCTTTGAAATATAGTGTTTTACATTTACAGCACTTTATTTTAACTTTTAACTTTTTTTTTCAGTGGTCTGGGAATCGAACCCAGGGCCTAGCACACGCCACTCACCACTGAGCTACAGCCCCGGCCCGGCAGCACTTCCCCATGGGGACAGGTGAGCAGTGCACAGGCATAGAGTCCCTCTCCCCCTCATCCCCACATCATGCAATAGTCTCTCAACTGCAAAGTGAAATGGAAAATATTGCAGAGGATGGGAAATGAAAAATGTGATGGGTGGAACTGCTGGGCCCATGCACAAGACCCTGACAAATGCCAAGTGTGCAAGAGTTCAGTAACATCGGGCAAGGAAAAATAGATATGGTGATGTTGTGGGCTTAACTGGGTCCCCTCCAAAATTACCGTGTTAGAGTCTTGACCCTCAGGACTTCAGAATGTGGTCTTGTTTGGAGAAAGGGGTGTTAGAGAAGGTAAAATGAGGTCATGGGGGTGCCTAGGCCAGTGTGACCAGTGTTCTTATAACGGGGAAATGTGCACATGGACACACACACGGAGGAGGTGCCATCCCCACATCATGGAGAGTCTGGAGCAGGTCCATCCTCACACCCCATGAAAGGGACTGGCAGCTGTCACCTTGATATCTGATTTTACCTCCAGGACTGTGAGACAATAAATTTCTGTTTTTTAACCCCTCCATCTGTGGTATTTTATTGAAGCAGCCTAAATAGGGCCGGGGATTTAGCTCAGTGGTTTCGCCGCCTGCTGCGCAAGTGCAAGGACCCAAGTTCGATCCCTGGTACCAAAAAAAAAAACAGCAAAAAAAAGAAAGCAGCCTAAATAGACTCGTGCAAATGGGCTGTCTGGGAGCATCAAAGAGAACATTTTGTTTTGGTTTGGTCTGATTTGATTTGGGATCAGGGTGTCACTACGTATACAGTCCAGGCTGGTCTCAAATTTGTGATCCTCCTGCCTCAGCCTCCCGAATGTTGGGGAGACCAGCCTGGGCCACTGCAGTTGGCTCATAAGGGAACAGTTTTTCCTATAAAAGGTTCCAGGTGGCCCTTCCAAAAACTGCAGATGAACTCTACTCTTGACCCTCACTGTGCACAGGGCTGGGTCCCCAAAATTCCCATCACCGATTCACAGTGTCATGGCGGCACCCTGCGCACATGTCTCGGGGAGGAGAAGAGAAAAGGTCAGCAGGGGGAGTGTGATGCACCAGCACACTTTGTTCCTTGAGTTCCCGGCAAGTGGAACTTCCCCCATTAAAGTTTCCAAAACCCTTCTGTAGATCACCACAGAAAAACATTTGGGGATTTCACAAAATAACTTTGGTCCTTAGTGGGAACACTGCTCCCCTTCTTCCTCGCAGAAAAGGCAGGAAACACAGCCCCCAATAATGGAGACCAACTGTCCAGGACACTACATACCCTACCATGACCCAGCAGGTGGAGCATAAGGCACGGGACTACCCAGAACCCACTGCAACCACAGGGGTGTGTGTTCTCTCTGCAGCACCACACAGACCTGCCTGCCATACACAGGAGCCCTCTGCTGGACCCGGTCAACACACAGCCCGGCAAAGCCAAGCAACAGAACTCACCGCAAGGAGCAGCTCTGCTGAAACCGTCAGAGGTAGAAACTTTTGATCTGAGATTTGTATTTCTGGGTTGTGAAATATCTTCTCATTTTTGTTGTTGGACCTACCAAGATAGGAGAAATCAATGGAGTTGTGGAGGTGCAGGAAAATTCCACACTCTGTGCATGACCAGGCGACAGGATGCCGGGGCTGGTCCTGGGTGCATCTGCCATCTGTGGACCAGATGGGCTGTCCCTATCATTCCAGGCTGGGGCTCTGACTCTGCACCTAGGAGGAGAGAGATACCACCACCATCTCAAAGTAAGCCCACCTTTTAGATGGGGTGGAAAAACTGTGTGATAAGATCCAGACTCACATGGGAAGATGTCTGCCGCACAACCCGAGACATCAAGAAAACTGTCACAGTGGCTTTGGAGACAGGAGATAGCATCCCAACTCTGTATGACTACTTTCAACTTAGAGATGAAAAGACAGAGGCCCAGAGGGACAGGTCACTTCTTTGCATGGAGGGGACAGGATGCAAACCCAGATTATTCAGTGCTGCATGCTTAACCCTGCTCTGACTCCCTTCCATCCACACTCAAATTATAGCCCAAAGCTGGGCGTGATGGCACACATCTGTCATCACAGCACTTGGGAGGCTGAGGCAGGAGAATTGCTGTGGGCTCAATGGCAGCCTGGGCTACACAGTGAGACCCTGACTCAACAAAACAACCCCTCCCCAACAAATTATAGCCACATGCTTAGACAAAGTTCCCAACGAAAGAACTTGAGTAGAATCCACGTCCCCCACCCCTAGAGTGAGCCCTCCTTTCATGGCGGAAGACAAAGAAAGAAACACACACAGAGGATAATTTCAGATTCTGACCCATTAAGGAGGCTGATATTGGGGGCTGATACCATGGCTCCAAGGTGACCCATTGAGGGCCGTGGTGAGCCACTATAGCCAGGGTGGTCAGGGAAGTCTGCTGAGAAAGTGGTCTGTAGAGTCAGGTTTGTACAAGGGCCGAAAGCCATCTAGACACAGTGAAGGGAAAAGAGCTTTCTAGGGAGCAGAAATGGCAGGTTCAAAGGCCCTGTGGTTGGCCGGTGGAGAGAATTGCTGGAACAGCAAGAAAATCCATATGGATAGCATGGAGTAAGTGAAAGGAGGTGGCAGCATCCCAGTCCCTGGCTGGTCTCACAGAATCTTTGACTCCTAAAAAAGGGCACATTTCCCAAGAGCCCACATGGCTCTACACTGGCAGGGGATCATCAGAGCTCTGAAGGTCAAAGCCAAGGTCACCCACACTCCAGCCTACTCACCTAGTTCCCCTCCTCTGACAGAAAAGTCCTCCTCCAGGATGGCCCACTTGCGGATCCTCTGGGCATTGGAAGCAGCCTCCTGGTTCACAGCATCTATGCCTTGCTGGGTGCCGGCATAGACAGGCAGGTCTTGTGAGTTCAGGATCTCTGACACGGTGGACACTTGGCTGCCCAGGGCCCGGCAGAAGTCGATGGCCGTCAAGGTCAGCTTGTCCAGGGGCTCCCCACTCATCTGGTTCGTGTGGCACTGCCCAGGACACCTCTGTCACCACACACGCTCCTCGGCCAGCCCCTGACCCCAATGCAGGCCCCAAAGACATGGAAAGCAATCGTGAACCCTGGGGGTGCGGAGAGGTCGCCTTCAGCCTCAGGAGCATGCTCGGGAACCTGGCCTTGTCGCCGACCAGCACCGCGTTACTGACGGTGGGGATCATCTTCACCAGGGCCTCGATGGGAACGGGGGCCACGTTTTCCCCGCTGGCGGTGATGGGGTGTTCTGCCACAAAACACACTCGGCACAGGTCTGACCACGACCACCCTCCTGCCCCGGACATCTCAGACAGCAGAAATCCCAGAAGCACAGGGCTTTTCTTGCACATCTCCATCCACCATCCACCTCAGTGCCACCGTGTCCACACCAGAGCACTCCACCTGGATGCCGTCCCCTTCTCCCTTTGGTTCTAGGGATGGAATCCAGGGCCATTACACTGAGCTCCATCCCCAGCCCTTTTTATTTTTTATTTTTATTTTGAGACACAGTCTCAGTCACCAAGTTGCCCAAGCTGGGCTCAGAACCTGTGATCCTCCTGCCTCAGGCTCCAGAGTGCCAAGATGGTAGGTGTGCACCACCACGCCCGGCTCCCCCAGCCCCAGAACCTTTGATGCGGCCGGTGATGCAGAGGAAACCCTGGCCGTCCACACGGCCCAGGTCCCCAGTGTGCAGCCAGCCTTCCTTGTCCACCGCCTCCATGGTGGCGTCTTCCCTTTCCAGGCAGCCCATGAAGATGTGCCGGCCCCACATGCACACCTCCCCGTTGCTGGCCTCGTCCTCCTGCAGCAGCAGGTTCTTGCAGGGGGGACAGGCGTGGGGGAACCGAGACTCAGAGACAAGGTCTCCCACCCAGGTCTGCCTGGGTCTGTGGCCCGGACTCCTAGTGCACTGCTCAGCTGCCCCCTCTCGAGCACCCAGGGAACCAGAGGTAATGACTCAGTGTCTCCTGCAAATCCAGAGACCCAGCACTTTGGGAACTGGGAAACTCAGCGGTGCTATAGGCTGTTTTTATTCCACATACATGGGAGGAAGGAAAACTGCTTGAAGACAGGAGCACAAAACCTATCAGCATTGAGAAAACACCTTTTTAGACCTCACTGCCTATAGCACACATCTTGCAATGACCACGGTAGCTGCTCTTAAGGGAAACAGTCAACAAGAATCTCTTCAGAGGTCCAAGTTACTTCTATAAGATGGAGTGCTTGCTTTGGCAACACATATACTTCTATAAGATGGAAAGGCAAATACCGGGTGTGGTGGTGCACACCTGTCATTCCAGCACTCAGGAGGCTGAGGCAGGAGGATTGCTGTAAGTTTGAGACCAGCCTGGGCTACACAGTGAGTTCAAGGCCAGCCAGAACTACATGGTGAGACTTTGTCTCAAAAAACAAAAACAATGGCCGGGGATTTAGCTCAGTGGTTTCACCGCCTGCTGCGCAAGCGCAAGGACCCGAGTTCAATCCCCTTTACCAAAAAAAAAAAAGATAGAAAGGCAACATCTGAAACCTGAGTTCTCAGACTCCCTTCTCAAGTGATATTTGCTGGGTTAGTGGACGGGTGCAAAGCAGTCAGACGCTGGATAAACATCCGAGGCGGAGTTTGCTGATGGTTTAGATGTGGGATCAGAGAGAAAGGAGGAGTCCAGGTGCCTCCAGGGTTTCTGGCAACTAAAAGGATGGCCAGGAAAACCACAGGAGAAGCAGCCTGGGAGCTCAGTTCTAAAGGTATGAACTCAACACGCCTGCGAGAGGCTCTTAGACACCCTGGCTGGGAGGCTGAAAAAGCAGGCAGAGAGGAAGTCTGGGGCCCAGGGGCAGGGTTGGAGCCATCAGTGCATGGAGGATGCAGGCTGGAATCATTAGTGTATGCAGGATGCAGGCTGGAGCCATCAGTGTACGGAGGATGCAGGCTGGAGCCATCAGTGTACACAGGATGCAGGCTGGAGCCATCAGTGCATGGAGGATGCAGGCTGGAGCCATCAGTGCATGGAGG